GAATTTCCACACTGCCTTTGAACACATTCATGTTTTTGTCCTTCCTTGTGTGAGTTTAAAGTCCAACGCCGACTACACCGCTTAGTTATACTCGCGTCGATGCACATTAACTTCCGAGGGATCAGTTTTAGCCTTTTAAACTGTCTACTTTCATCCTGTCAATGAATCTTGTCCACAGGGCGAGATAGCCTCTGCCAATGTACTTCCTTTCCTCTGTAGAAATGTGTTGATGATGAACCGTAGTTATTCGTATGCTCTAACTCGACGACGTTTCTCGTTGATCATGTAAAACTCATGAACTCAATAGTAATGTAAGTTCCAGAGAATATACTAATATTGCCCGCGACCATTCTTCCTCTACTTCATCTTTTCATCGTCGGTCTCCTCCATCTCTACTCTCTCGGGCTCCTCCTCCACCACTGCGGCCATAACGCTCATATGGCGAGTAACGTCGATCTTGACGGGAATCAGAACGCCTTCTGTAGTAGTCCGACGAACGCCTAGGGTGTTAACAACAGTCATTTACCTAGTGGTGAAACACTGCATCTATTAACCCATTATAAGGTACCTGCGTTCCCGTACCTATTCCAACTAGCCAGCAGTTCTCACTACTAGATCTATCTAACCCTACTGTGAATTCCAAGTGCCCCCCAGGGTCATGATCACCTGTCTTCCCTTCTACTGCGGTCTCTCGAATTCGATCGACTTCTACTCCTACGATCCCCACCACGGTGTCGGCGACTGCGGCTTCCATCACGACTGTCATAACTGCGGCTCCTCCTACCACCCGAGTACGACCGTGATCGGGAACGGGATGAGGACGATGACGAGCTGTACCCGTATCTAATGAGCAGACGATAACCTTATACAAATAAGAGTGAAATTATATGACTTCGCCCTTCGACGTTCCCTGCTCCTACTGCGACTCGACAGCGCTCCATAACTCCTCCGTTTTCCACTCCTAATAGATGAACAGACACATCCAAAGGCACACGAGACCTCCATAGATTCACCTGTTGTATCCACCTCGTTCCCTCGCTGCATAGGCCGAACTCGCACTGGAAGCCCCACGGGAGCGGTACTCAGCCTTCAGGGGTATACCATTCAGGACCACCTAAACAGTCGTCCAATCTACCCTTATGAACCAGTCGCTAAGCTCAGCAATACTTCCCCGCTGTCGCAGGCGGCGAGTGCAGCTTTAGCACAGTCAGAATTCTCGTAGCGAATGTAGGCAGCCATCTCGTTGCGCTTGTCTACGGGGGGTAACCAACACACTGTTATCTGATATACCATAAATCTGACAAATCACTGAGAAGCAGCTATTACATCGCCGTATTTCTGGAAAACCTGTTTGAGTCCAATCCTGTTGGCCGCTGGTGTGAGGCCAGCTACGATGTCGATAGCGTTTTGCTGAGCATCACGAGGAGCCTCCCGACCGAGGCCAGGACGATACACAGCCATACGACGACGATATAACAACAACTGTAACCGAAACCACACTACTTCATACACAAGGGGCCGACAAGACAGAACCAGAGAGGCGACAAGGCCAAGTCAGAGAACACCCAATATTCATCATGCCATTCAAAGCGGATGACCGAAACCGTGTCTTCCCAATCCGTATAGCAACAGTCCAGCTGCAACACCCTACGCCTCCTTAAAACCCTCACACATCAACACCACAGAGACCCCCGCTATGAAGCTGTCCAGAAGACACCACCGCGACCGAGCGAGCATTTTCTATCTAATGAGCCTATCACTATCACCTCAGTCGCCAGTGTCGATATCGATTCACAATAGAAAAGGACGTTAAACCATTTTGTTCCTGATACCGTTAAGCCGGTTCCACTAGTAGCATTTACAGTACGATGACCACCTCAGAAGGATATAAAGCAATTCCTTGAGGCCCCTCAGTCGACCTAAAATCAGCGTGAAAATGACGAGTACAACATTGGCGTAGCAATAGTACAAACAGCAACTTGACATACAAAGTGAACCTTTCCCGCTCAGCCGAATATTACAAATCTGTAAACGCCACTGGCATGCACAACAGGAGCAAGTGAGATATATAGAATTGTCAACAGCCTCAGAGCCCCTCAGTACGGTCCTGATAAAACCGACCACAAGCCGCAAGGAAATTTCACTCTGCAGCAGAGGCCTCACCCACGCGTGCTCGATGGCTCTAATAGGAACAATTCTAGTAGAAAAATGAGGAACCCAAATAAAACCCGAAATGTGAAAACAGAAAACTGCCGAGTTTCCTCTCACTTACCTCCCTTCACAACAAACTCCATAAAAGTAACGGGGAATAGTCCAACTCGTCCATTCGAGACGCGAACGACCACTCCTTACGCTGCCGATAGACTCACCAAAGACTAGGTATACCCTAAAGCTGAACTTCATCATGTACCCCCCTACAGAGGGCTGATGGGCGACCAACAACCCCCCATGTGGCCTGAACGGTTTACCGTAATAGCAATGACCATCCACTGAGTGATTCATCATAGTACACCTTGTTGCAACTCAGTAGTGGATTCGCTTGAAAACAATATGATGATTATGCTTGCACCTCCAGAATAGCCAGAGTTACCAAGCTTAACGTAAAGTGATCATTTAAGCCGTTGTTAGAGAAAACCACAATTCTTCGGGGACTTCAGCAGACCATCGGCGCCTTTCAAGTTGATGATGACCAACAGCAACATGGTTCAACTTAATGCGCGCCCGCCCCCGTGATCGATTTATCCACATCCTTGAGTATAATTGAACTCGACAATACTATATCATCATCACTACACACACTAAGGCTGTACTATAGTAGTAATATAGAGTCCGACATGCGGAAATAGAATAATCATTGCCGTGATGATCATAGCCATGGAAATGACAAAGCGTGTCAATACGGTGTTGTTGTTGCATGCTTTGGGGAGGCGTCGTTATTGCTACCCTCACCCTTCTTAATTTGGACCTTTATCTTCCTCCCAGTCGGCGCCATATAGCCGTCCATAGTCTGGACCTAAGACGCCGAGACATACCACACCAACCAACACTACTACTGCTCCACACGGCAGATAGGATAAAAACCAAGAAGAGGGGGGAAGGCCTTATCGGCTCTCATACGAACTGCATGTGCTTGTGCTGCATCATCAACTTTATCCATCACTGTTATCATCAATTTCTCATAACCATTGCAAGACTGATCCACGTCGATCGAGGCTAGAAGCCAATAACACTACTACGTACAGCTCTCTCAGCCGAGTCGCAGTTATCATAAGAAATGAAGCCATAACCCCGCGAGATACCAGTCTGCTTATCAACCACCACCTGAATGAAAGCAGTTATCAGATTCACATCAACAACAATACTACTTTCGCAGACACTATGTTTCCGAACGACCCAAAGTGCTGTCGCAAATCCATCTCCGTCCATGCGTCCGGAACGGAAAATATGAAGATATTCGCGCCGGCCGGACCTGACCCCTTTAGTGTCTCTCTCTAGGAGTGTGAGAAAACATGCACATGGTCAACCACATAAAACTCTGTGAAAATTTTGGAAAATTCACATTGATTTCTGCACATCTCTACTCGGATTCGTTCGTATACCATTCGCCCTTCGATCAAGTGATCATACAATATCATCGATCACGCTACCTAGGACCATGTGGGCTCTCGCTGAGACTAGAAGAGACTAGAAATTATATTTCCCCAACTAGATATAATTAGTAAGGAAACTGCCAAGCTCAGCTGAGGAAGGCGAACATATATTCATCCTCCAACACTACTCCCGATAAACGACGACTATTCTCACCCTTAGCCTGAGGCACCGTGTGGGCTGCCGACGGGTTCTTAAACTCTATCGGGAGTTCCCACTGCACCGTGTTAGACTGAGAATTGTGGTAGTAAGGCGTACCATCCATTGCGAAGTACCTAGCCATGACCACTAACTCCAATGCCATCACGCCCATACACTCACTCTGTCCACGCCCCAATGGTTCTACTACACTGCCCTTGGGTGTCTCCAGCCATTGTCGAGTTAAGTGGAACTGACGCTATAGAGTAGACCAATAGCAACAGTAAGTCATCACAGAAGTCCCTACCCTGACCATAGCCCTGCGACATGCCACTCACGAACCGAGGTTGCACGCTCGGGGTATGGTCATAGCCATTTCCAGCTGGAGAGCCATAGGAGCTCACTGGCGGTAGCGACCCTAGGAAGACCGACTGACGAGCCCGTCTACACATCAATCCTACCCGAGGGCCTTCTAGTCGGCCCCCGACTGCTAGAAGGGTCGGCCACTTTCACTTCGAGCATCCGCTGGGAGCCTTCTACCTGTACTCGACCATTGACATCGCTGATGGCTCGCATGGCATCCTTCTCCTCTGCGAACCGTACGAAGGCGTACCTGCCTCATCCACTGACAAGCAGTGTTGGTGACAACATAGAAATTTTGAGAAATTCCCGATGGTTTCTTTCACAACAAACTCCTACAATGAGCGAGTAAATTTCTGAGCTCGGCTGAGGACAGCAATCATATATTGCAACATTGCCACTATCAGCTCGCCCTTATTACAAAGCATGTGGTCCCGGTACGTGTACTTCAGTGACTCTGCCAAAAGGCTCGAATATTTTGCGTAGTTCAACAGCTTCTGTCGAAGGGCCAAGACCAGCCACATACAACTTCGTCTCTTCACCTAGGCACGCCCAAGATTCACCCAATGTGTCATAAAAAGCACATACATGGAATTTTTCGGAAAATTGCTATCACTCGGCAATACGTGATTTTTTTCAGATTTCTATTTGACGTGTTACTGAAGCACTCTCCAAAATTTCGTAGACTAGCTCGAAATTACCGAAAAGGAACAGGTGCTCAAAATTGATCCCGAAATGGTAGGACGCGTTTTACTACTCCTCATGCCAGGAGTCTCCTTAGTCAACCCGAGCCTTTCAGCTTCTCCTTGTGCATAGATAACCGTCAGCGGCCTGGCGCTCTACACACAACATTATGACCAACCATATCAAACACTCATTCCCTACTTGGAGTTTCACCCGTTTAACATGAAATTGCTCACTAGTGTTTTTCTGATCACTAGGGTGGTGACTCGATTGAATGCTTGAGCCCAACGGAGGGACATGCGATTTCAATAACAGTGAATTTAAATTTTTCCCAAAAAATTGTAAAATATTTTTTTAAATTTATACCACTTCTCTTCATTGAAGCCATCCTTTCAAACCAGACATCAACAACAAGAGGTCACCTCCGGCAGAATCGCCCCGTTCAATGCAGCTATGGCGTTCTGTCCTTCTGCGAGATCTCGAAACCGTACAAACGCCAACCCTGCATAGCATCGTCATCGATATGGTCATATCCTAGCCTGTTTCAGACACGCTGGTTTCCTCAAAGTAAAAGTCTTAAAAGCAGTTCAGCATATGATGGTAGTATTGGAATTTATGCTCGCTTTCCTCAGCTGTGTAAAAAAATTTTCCTCACTAACTACACAAGTTTATATATGAAAGTCGATATAAATTTCCCAAAAATTTTTGGGAACTTCAGGAAATTCCCAAAAATTTAGAATTTTTTCACGAAATTTTGGGAGATAATCTCCCACAGTGCTCACCAAACATATATGTGCATATTTTCCCACACACTAAGTGTGAGGAAATATTGTACACAAGTGTCTTCTGTAATTTTAGATTCTTGTGATACTAGTCTCCCTTGCTAGCCTAGCCTATACTTTATGATTACTGTATTGATCATTAGTCAAAAACCACTTGTTTATAACTCTTGTTGAGTTATCTAATCCTAACACTAAGTTTGTCAGGCCCGACGTCTCACCTCGGGACTCCTGTGTTTCTCTGTCTTTCATAATGAACACTTCTTCGATTCCACCATACCTACTTGCCACACACGGACAGTCCAAATTTTCCCATTTTTTCCGCGATATTTACTGCTGAAATATCCGCAATACATCGTCAGAAGTGAGCGATTTGGCTAGCCCTCGAACAAACAACTTCACGGGACCTCCCCCACCAAGACTCTGCGGCGCATTCACCATGTACGCTGAATTCAAGCTGTCATGGAATGCCACTTGCCATGATTTGGCCGTACATAGTCATAATCAGTGACAACCCAACACGGATAGTAATGACACCAGGGAAAGTAATGTTCGTTACGCCATCTCCCTCTACTTATGAGGACTGTAGACTACTACTTCGACCACCAAATGGTCCCCATCATAGCATGCACAGTACCTATCGATAATTCACACCGCAGATTCCTTCGCTCGGCAAGCTTCTTCTATACTCTTTGATGAAATATACTTGCATATCGCCAAGGACATCTACCAAAGATGGACCAATTCGTCAGCACTTTCCCCTTTACACAACTTTCTCCATATCCTCATAACTTGTCGAATATGACCAGTCTGCAATTAGTTGAGAGCTTCAAGACGATACCTGAGTTTGCCTGATATTCACACGCCCTGAGAAATTTCGAGGGATGAGCTCTTTTTTCGACCAACCCGTTGATCCCTACATAGAAATATAAACTAAACGCTTTCCGAGCGATATAATCACGACGGAAGACTCACCTCGCTCTGTCATCATCTAAAATACAACAACTCGGAAGGGAAGTGACGAATCGTCTACACCCTCAAACAGCCGTAAACATATTGTCAGCGACACATATAGTCGGCCATACGCACTGTGTGAGAGTCTATAGAAAATGCAGGCAACCCATCTGCCATCCTCGAATGCTACGATCTACTATACCACAAAAACAAGCCACGGTGAGACAGACCATGACAACACAGAATTTCCATGCCAATCCAGTTCACGTACAACCCATCTAGTTTCTGATGATTACCATAGCACCTCATAGTAATGATGAAAGACATATTTCCTTTTCAACCTAGCCGATCCAAGCTCTAATACGGTGCCATTTGTTCCAACTTCACATACACGGCGTAATAAAACAGTCCATAAAAAGTATTACGCCTCTGGCGGCAACTACGCTGTCGAGCATAATTCTATATGACGATACTCTCAATATCGATAGTAATAGCCGAATCAAAGCCATAGAACGGTAGGATCACCCCACCAGGACCATTCAAGTAGGTAACAGGTTGGACATAGGGCGAGCCAACTATTTGGCTTTCCAGCTGTTTCTCCCATTCTCGAGCTGTAGTAGTAGCCGACATAACGATACTAATGGATATACACTAACTACATGACCACACATCATCTGAGCCTATGAATGAATTCTCCATGATATCTCCAACTCCCCGAACCCCAGCTCCTGTGCATAGCCGAATTATGTATCGACCAGCCTTGATGCTATTCCCCCATGCTCGAGCTGGAGTGGTAGCAGACATAACGATAATAATAATGAGAATACACTAACTACGTGACCACACATAACGCCATAAAGTAATATCATCGGACCCGGAGTGATATCTCATCTCCCTGAAACCCGGCTCTGTCCATCGCCAGGATATATACAAGCCGTGACTTTCCCCGTTTTAACGCACAATACATAGATAGCTTTCGTATCAATAGAGTATCAATAGGATGATGCGGAGGCGATAAAAACTATCCACCAAATCGTCATACGCCCAACACGAAAATAACAAATCGCCTTAGTAACGCATACCACCCCGAGGCCGATCGTATCTTTTGATATCGTATGAGGAATCGTCTGAAACACACAAGAGAAAATCCCATACTGCTGACAATACTCGCCTACCTGTATTACGAGGCTGTCCCTCGTTTCTGGTGATACGGAGTCGCTCCGGACAGCCCTGTATACGTCTGCCGTCCAGGGACTTCAATACCTCCTCGACCTAATGGGAAATGTTACTACTATGCGGTCCGTCGTTGCCTTGTGTATGCGTACAGCATATTGCGTTCTATATAGTAGACAACTTTTGTGCGATTTTTACACTAACTCCTCGGGGCCTGGGGCTCCACAACTGCCCCCCAAGACCTTACGTCCAGCTTACCTGTGCGGGGTCCGTATACTCCAATACACCACAGCATACACGACCCTCTCGGAAGGTCCTAGCGAACGAGCACGAACTGCCATAGTCCTTTCCTGAGCACACACAAAAAATGTCTATAAACCAATGAAAACCATCATATGTTGCTACCAAGTTGCTTGAGTTCCTGCCAGCTCATGTCCTCGGGTAGATTCTCGAGCTTCAGCTGCAACGCCCCTCTACCCCCCACAGTTCCCCCATGGCGGCCCGACCGTGGCATTTCCTTATCGTCGTAGAAACTAACACCGTCATCACCACCAACACGACGTCCACCACTATCGCGATCCCAGGACCCTTGGCGCTCAGCCGGTCTGGATCGGCTGGACGGCGGGCTGTAACTACTCATAGAATACAATGCCATCTTGGGCAAGATGATAATAGGCTCACTCAGGGTAGTCGCGACGAGTAGTAATATCTCTCCCATAGTCGTCCCTTCTACCACCGCGGGAGTCTGAGGACGTCAAAAATACATCATCAGATAATACAGTGTAAAGCACGCTGCTATACTAAACCATAGTTAAAGAGGTATTTTCATCTCAACAATGCGATTCGACCAACAAGTTCACATTGGTGTTACCAACTGTCTCGAAATTGAACACATTAGTTCACATAAACCACTGGCCGCCTACCTCCACGGTACCAATCTCCACCACCACTGCTGCTGCCTTCTCGTCTGTCATAACCTCTCCTGTAACCGGAGGAGTACCCACCACCACCACTGTAGTTGCCTCCCCAACGACCACCTCCATACGAGGGTCGCTTCCAGTCTCTGACAATAACAAGGTATACCGAATTCACTTCCCACACTGCACATACCTATTGTAAGAATCATAAGGGCGACGACTTTCGGAAGATTGACGGGTTGCATGGGCAACCTGAGGAAACCCCTATAAGCTCTCTACGAATCTTCTCGCCTCTACCTTGATAGTGAAACCCCCGAACTTGGTTTGGTCCACATCCTCGATCGCCTCAGCAGCAGCACCCTCCGTATCGAACTGCAGGAAGGCGTAGGTGTCCCTTGACGACTGACAGATCTTAACGTCAGTAACGCGACCTGATATCAAAAGTCTACCTCCAACGCCACTGAGAAACACTTGCTCACCTATTTTGCCGAATCTGTCTTCTAGTTCGACCTCGCGGACGTCGGAGGGCAACCCACCGACCCAAATACGAGAGGCACATCCAGCTTGGGAAGGCCCTCTCGCAGGTGTTATTTCGGCTCGGCCGAAGCGACGAGAGTTCGATCGAGACCTAATCAATGATGAGAACAACAACACTTCAAAGTACTCTCCCTTACCTTGATCGGTCTCGTCTATGTTCACGACGGATCTCAGCATCATAGCTAGGCTCACGTCGAGGGCGGTGGTCGCGAGAGATGCTCCTCGAGCGGCGACCATCGTCCGAGGCAGAGTCGACGCTACTGCTACTAGCACGAACAGGGGCGCTACGGGACGCGTCCATGCGACCAGTACAACTAGCAGAGGCCTCAGTTGTGGTAGTAGCAACTTGCTGGACTTCTGCAGTGTCCTTTTCATCGACACTGGCCCCTAGCTGCACGACAGAAGCAGCAGTATCAGCAACCTCCCTTGGGGCATCCGACTGAACCGGATCGTTGCTGTGGGTTGGGGACTTCACAAGGCTCTCATCTCCACTAGTGGGAACATCGCCTGGCGCAGGGCAAGCAGGGTCAACAGCAGTATCTCCAACCATCTTAACAAGCGGATCACCTCAAGGTTCAGCACGCAGTACAAAACGTTTTTACACGTGTTAAAACGGTCAGTTCTGTGACGTGCAACGATTATGTTCTACTCTATGGGTAGTGGGCAGTAGAGTGTGACTCCTCCTACTTGCAGTTGATGACTTTATGTTAAAATGTCTCTGTAGTAGTATCGGCATGCCTGACTCTCTACTACTACACCTTCATTGGCGGCGGAAAGGTGGACCTGCGAACCGTGCATTGGGCGCATTGACGAGGGTTCTTCTAATATGCTTGGCAGTGCTGGTGAAATCGATTCCAGCAGACGAGTTCACGGGCTATTGCCGTTGGGTCTCGCCTGATGACACTTTTGATGAATATGAAGGAGTCCACGAGGCCTATATCGCCTTTGACAACACCGATCAAACCCAAGGGTATCTGAGCCTTTATGTCGACATGTCACATGCCGGCGACCCCAACACGAGGCAGGTCTATCTATGTCAAGACGAGCTCGTCAATGTCAAACAGACGTTTCCTAATGGAACTGACTCGATGAGCATTCAACAAAGTGAAGTGTCAATTACATATCATAGTATGAGCCTATGTCTAAGCAAGGCTTTCAACTTCATGAAGGACACTGGTCTAATAATGCGAGACACCACCGATCTCACGTACCTGCTCTTACGCCTCAACGAGACATGGTAGGAGCACTGAGGTTTCCGACATTGCTCACATTCACCTTCTGTATTTCAGGTTCGTAACAGGGCCAGATCCTAAGACTAATCGGTTGCCTCTGTATACTGCTGGTAACCAGCTTGAACTATGCTCTAAGTCCCCACTGTTGTCTTCAAGACCGATTGCTGGGGTTTACTGTGCATCTACTTATTCCCTCAACGCAACCAACGCTGATGAGTCTCGGTTGGGTCCTCTTGGTGAAGGACTTTTCGTTACGGACTATGCTCCCGTAACACATTACCACCCCTCGATATATGTAGGGGCCTTCAACTTGGTGGTGGGAACCTTCTGGGGCTCAGTAAATTTGACGTCGTTTGATACTCCTGGCATGCTCGAAACTTTGCCCAGGAACAACCCTTTGACGTACACTCTAGATACTAACGGCAACATCTCTAGTGTGCTCTACTACGACCATATATCAGTGTTTATCAAGACAAGCCTATTAGATAGAGTGGGCGACGCTCAGAGTGTTGCGGTATCATATCAGAATCGGTACACTCTTGAGCTCAGTGGCGACCGCTTGTCATGTCCAGTGTTACTCGGACAGATAAGCGACATAATGCTTCCAGATGCGGTCGATGGTCCAAACTCTGCTGAGTTGCCTTCCATACCTGACAATGCATGGAAGAAGGCCCAAGGGCTTGTCATTGGTTGCATCGCTGTCTTCATCATCATACTATTTGCCATATGGTCTATTCGTGTGGATAAGCATAGAAAGGAGGCCCTCAAGAAAAGGACGGCTCTAATAATACCGAGTTAGGCTCCAATCTTGTGTGTTAATGACATCAGACTAGTCCCCCCCCTAGCCAGTGAGCTTAGGGGTGATGACCATCCTCTTGGTCCCTTCCTGTACGTTTAGTGTATCATTAGGAGAAGGTAGCTTTCATAACTGCCGTTCTCGTGGTCTAATATTCCATACCATTATCTACAAGAAAATCTCTCGATTGCCTTATCTTGATGAGTTCATCATCAGCGTTTGCCCGAAGTTTTTCCACGATCTTTCTCGGCTACACAGTCCTTTGTGTTGCCTCAATCACACACATCGCTGAGGGATGTGGAGTAGGGAGAGTTGGAGCTGTTCGAGGGTCGGTTTAGTTCCGTTTAATTCGCCTTAGCAGGGACTTCCCTGTCTCTGCAATCTTTACTTGTCTGAGTGATTTCCATCCCATCTGGTGTCAGTTTGAGGAGTTTGAGTTTAAAATAAGCTACTCAACTACACTAGAGATCATGAGGACGGAAACAGGAGAATATTACTTCACAATGGGATGATAGTCAGAGTTCAACTGTGTATTTTCCGTCCACACTGCTTCCCTACTATTTGTTCATATCGTGTGTCTCAATTCACTCAAGTGGTTTCGCTTGATTTTCCTATACAAGAGTCTAAACAGTGAGCTGATATAATATACACGGTCGGCATCACAGAGAATAACCTGCAACTGATATCAAAGTCTCCGTTGTCAATTTCTGAGGTGAAAGTCCAAAGCAGGGAGGCTCACGAACCGCAGCTAAGGTGGAGGTCCGATCATTAGATATCGATGACCTGCTATTGTCAGTAATGGATGAGCAAGTCTTTCGAAAATTAGCAAGTTGTATACTCAAACTGATTACTAATGCGAATGGATGCATCGCTTCGCTGTAATTCGAACTTTAGAGATGAAACCGTGAGGCGAGCGGTCCGTTTACACCCTTCCACATATTCGTAGGATATTTTCGAGGCACGCTAGCTAGGGTTGAGTGCGTCGAGTAGCCGTGGAGTGGAGGACTTGTGACCCTGCTACGATAATGATAGTGTTTCTGAAGCTATGATATACAAACATCAGGGTGAAACTCGACTTTCTCAATGAGTTATGAGTTTCACACCATGTATGCTGAGAGCTTGTGGAGGGGCATATGATGGTATGGTTAAAGGCAGAAGAGATTTATTCCATCCTAATCCTACCACTCCCTGGGGAAGTCCCGAAGAGAGGAGTACACGCACTGTTGTCGGCACACTCAGTGAGTGTCACGCAGGCACTGTGCCCCTGAGTGTCTTTCCCTCATCAGTATTTCTAGGGTCGGCTCGTACCGAACTACTACCCTACCAGGCCCACGTAACCACGAGTGGTATATTTAACGTTGAGCAGCTCAAATCGAACCATGAATTGACAACACGAGAGTAGAGCAAGGTCGCAACGCCGCCGCCTCAAGTATGGACAATTGAAAACAATTAGAGGAACGATAGAATCATTTACAGATCTTAAGCGGCAACGGCCTCCTCGATGATGCCCATGGCCTTCTTGAAGTTGCGCTCCTTGATGCCAGTGATGGACTTGCCCTGCCAGACGGGTTTCTTTCCGCCAGCTCCCTTTGCACCAAACTCCTCGAGTAACTGTCAAGACAACTCAATCGAGCCCGCCACCTGGCCGAGGCTTACCGAGCTGAGCATCTCCTTGTTCGCCAAAAGCGGATAACCTTCTTGACAGTCCGACAAGAGGAAGGCGGTTGGGCAACACAGGAGTATCTGAATGACAGCGATGAGCCCACATCATCACAAGGGTTTTGCTACAGCCTTCGGAGTTCCCTCCATCTCCTTTATCTTCTCTGACAAAGCCTTCTCAAGTAGATGCAAGAAGGGTGATTCACAGTCTCTAAAGGCACCAACAACGGACCGACCGGAAGCCTTCTCAAGCAGGTCGGACGCTAGGAACTGGACAAGTTCGTCCGTGAGAGCTTTCACCTGACCAAGGAGGACTACACGCCGGGTTGGAGGCGAAGACGAACCTGTCGATTGGCAACAGTGAGCTGCTGCAAACGTTGTTGAACTAATTCGGGGAGCTTCTCCCTCTTGCAGCTCAAGTCATTGACCATAGCGGCCTCTCGATTGGAGCACTCCTCGAGACGGTCTAAGACTCTCTGGCCGATGAGGAAAGTGAAAGTGACGATCTGCGTGGACGCCTTCAGTGAGTGACCTGAAACAATGACCGTATCCCTATGACCGCGCGCCAAAAAATTGTCACCTATGATCTTCACACACTGCAGCTCGGAAAGGTTCTCAACATGAGTTCCTCCACACGCATTCTTCTCAATGCCGTCGATCTCAACTATTCTAAAAACGTCGCCCTTCACCTTCTTGGGCAGGGCGGAGCGGAGCATCCTAAAAATGAAATATCCCGCTATCCAAATCATTGACGGTTGAGCCCTACGGGTCTCTATTGCCATTCTCGTCCTCGAGCTCGCTGCGTTTCATTTGACGGTTGAAAACCGTACGGTGCTCCCGAATGGCCTGGTTGCATGCCTTTTCCAGAGCCTTCACTCGGGACTCCAAAGTTTCTCCTAAAAAGGCCTTCCGAGCCACAAATTGATCCCGTGAATTACCTTGCGGGATAAGGTCCAGGTTGCAAGGACCGATATCGACAGAGCAGCTCTCGTTGCCGAACTCCCACGAATCGGTTTTGCCGAACTCGGGGAAGATCTCGGCATGCTGCACACAGAGACAATAGAGGATCCTATTGCTAGTCAAGACCCACCTCACAGAGGGCACTGATGAGATGCTGACCCGAGTGCTGTTGGGTATTGTCCCAACGTCTGTCCCAGTCTAGGGTGACCGCCACCTCGGACCCCACTTCTACCTTACTATCCACATAATGATGAACCTGAGTGACAACTGTCGAACCACGAGGCGAGCGGTTCCTCTACAGGTCTCAACTCAGTGTTATTTTGTCAGTTCATAACGATAAACCATGTGCATCACTAATACCTCTCCCTCAGAGTTCTTATTTACATAAAGGACCTTAGCGTTGCCTATACGGCCGGTATCAGAGGGCTGGCCGCCCCCCTCAGGGTAAAGTAGAGTTTGGTCCAGTGTCACCACAAACTTAGACCCTGAGATTCACCACACTCACAAGACGTGTCACCACCGTGAGCGTCCCACCTTTCGCCATAGGAGCCACTGCCTTCTTAGGAGCAGCCTCACAGGTGAGGACCTTGGCCGTAGCGGAGCGGAGCTTGGGCTGGGCTATACACAGTACTCGAGTGGCCATTGAGCAGGAGGATAGATGAAACAGGAATGTCTACAGTCGAGTGTTATGACTCTGGCACAGCCTTCCTTCAGTGAGGCCGAAGCTCGGACGGGCATGGGGACACGACTGTGTCACCAGTGTGAGGGCAGGGCGTAGGGCTGCTACCTCGTCGAGGCGGCTCGCGTTCACTTCGACCCAAGCAGAAGAGCTCAACAGTAGGAGCGAACTCCGATAATACCCCGGGCTGACCCGACCCATCACTCGGGGCGCCTTAGCGAGAACGCCCGCACATTCCTCACGCACAGAGGACACGTGCCAAGCCCTTTGATGGTCTATCCGATGCCGAAACAAACTGTTTCACATGGTCTCCTCGAAAGCTATACCTCCCATTGTATCGAGGATCACGATGCCTCCAACCAGGGAGAATGCGAACTCTTCGGTTGGGAATCTATTGACTGCTAGCTTTGAGTAGCCATACTGTCTTCTCCAACGGTTCTCCTACTATGTGACTTTCCGTGCATCTCGATGGTAATATACTTTTACGGCCAACTTCTTAGTGAAAATAATCCAACCATACTAGCCGAGGCAGGTGAAGAGAGTCTACTTCAACTACACGCTAGTAAGGAAGCTGTATACTTTTCCGGAGACACCTGCATACAATCCTTGATACTTAGTCTGACCTTTAGCTAGAGCTACTTAGTCTTGCCATATACTGCTGTATTTACCTACTGGAAAAACTATATTGTTGTGCTTATCATGGCTCCTAAGACCAAAGCCAATCAAAGCTCCATCATGGCTCGCTTGTGCACATGTATCCTTTCAAACTCATTTGCAAAGTACCTTCACAAGTGCGCTGTATGAGTATGGATTACCCTATCTCTATACACCCTCACAGGTGGCGTTAAAATCAAGCCTTCCCCACTTAGCAACGCAACCCAACGAGTCTGCAATTCACATGGTGAGACAAAAAAACAAACTTTCACTCCTTTCCAAAGTACTCATAAACACAACTGAAATCCTTCCTGCCATGTCCCTTAGCACCAACGCTAGCATAAACATCTCTCGCGAACGCCGCGACAGGCACCTGATACATTCACTACACCAGTACGACCATAAGCGCCTTCACCTCGGCACCACAGCCTTCCGCAGCTGCCTTAGCCAGGTCAAGATCTTTGACCATCAAATCTACCATGAAACCCTGAGAATCATCATCCTAATATTACCCACACCACACAGACGAGACCCACGCCCGAGTAGCTCCTATTAGAAGGTATGTCCTTATCCAGAACACCAGGCACTGGGTTGTAGGTGTCCGAGCTCCAACAGCGTCCAGTAGAGGTGTTCACGATCTCCGCAAAGACTTTCGGGTCAACACCCAGACTCCTGAGACCAGTACCATACATTTCGATGCAGAATGCCATGAAAATTTCCCCACTACTACTTGGCGAGTCGAAAGCCTTCAGCTACTCCCAACATGCTAGCAGCAAGTATGAGGTTATTGGAGACCTTCACGGCCTGCCCTAAGCCTGTGCCCCCACAGTGCTTCGGGTTGCCCATGGCACTCAAGATCTCCGTAGCTGCCTTCAGATCTTCAGGAGTGTCCGCTCCCACCATAAAAGTTAAAGTACCTGTACCAGGGATCGAACTCGATACCTTCTGAATGCCCTTCAAGCACCGTATCCAATCGCACTTCGAAGATGAATACACTACCAGCCTTAGCCGCCGGAACTCCACCACTGACCGGGGCATCCACCATCCTATGGCCCTGCTCTTGGGCCTTCCTAATAACATGCTGGGCAGCAATAGGATCAATAGTAGAACAGTCGATCAAGAATGACGACTTCTCCAACAGGGATAGGATCTGAATACCACATAAATTCGATGAAAGATGGACAGTCGGACGACATTCAAAAATCGCAACGAGCTCGCACTAAGTCAAAACGGATGTATAAAGTGTTCGATTTTGGTAGTCGATGAGGGATAAGTGTACACCAGAAAGCTATAATAATACGTGGAGTGTACTGACCGAGAGCTTTACCACGGACGAGTTATATAACATACCCTGAGGATTGCTACATTCCAAAACAGTAAGCCCCGATGCATCGCGGTCCAAGCTTGCCTACCCCTCCATTGGTAGCAGTATAGAGTTCCACCACGTCCCGAGTGCCTGGTAACATAGATATGATAACTTCACTCGATCCACACAGCTCCTCGAGATCTTCAGCCACTCGAGCGCCCTTGGACGCGGCTTCCTTCACACCTGAGCGATGGACATCCAACCGTAACCAGCGACTCCATCACGAAAGCGAGACTCTGATGTCTGATACGCTCACTGCGAAATATCAAATCGTACATTTCCAAGATTTTTCATCTCTCCAGAATCGGCCTTCCATATACGCCCATAACTACAATTTCAAAACTCAGCAAATTCAATACCAAAATCAAAAAAATGTTTTTCGTTGAGCGCAAGGAGAAGTCTTGGAATAAATGATTGTCGTATTCCTCAGCCGAGTGCAGAAGTTTCCTCACTAACTATAAAAGTTTACGTACACATTCGGATGGAAGCATAGAGAAGTCAATGAGAATTCCTTATTTTCATCCTCAAAATTTCCGCAAATGTCACCTACATTTTTCCCACACCCGAAAGGAGTTTTTCCCAGGATCAAAGTTCAAAGTCGCAATATGAGTTCGATTTTCGCAGACCAGCCGAAAATAAAAGTTCAAATTCGTAAATCAACTTTATGAATCAGGAAACCAAACACAAGGCCTATTTTAACCAACGAAAGCCCTCCCTCAAACTACCAGGAGAATCCTTGAACTTGTCAAACACTACGAGGTTGCGTTGGGCCTTCAAAAGGTTCGCCGCCATACCAGAACCCATGTTGCCAAGACCGATGAATCCGATCGTCGAAAAGCAGCGAGATCCTCTGCAACTGCCGACACCCCTCCGAGCGAAACTCAGCATAGCAATGATAAACTAAGCGGAAACCCGAGTGACACTACTAACCCAAGAAGATAGATACCATAACTCAAGCAAATTAAACACGATAGCAGTCTAGCAATTTTAATGGAGTTGACAGTTTTTCCGTCAAACTCTTCAGAAACAACATTCACTTTACTCAGGAGTCGGCTTGTAACCATCAACATAGAAATTAACAGTCGACTGAGGCAACTTTACTTCTTGACCATCCATGTCTTCAGTCACCTTAACCTGAGCATAAAGCCACTATCGATGACCATGTTATGGAAAAGGAGGCCACCTGGCATCCCAGACGGCTCGTGTCCTCCAGCCCAGGGGCGAGATCGAGTAAATCATCCTCCTCATCACAAGGCTCCGGCAAGCTATCGTAGAGATCTTGTGACAATATGCAGTGACAGGTGGAGCACGCCATTTGTCCCTAAAGTGAACCATACCAAAATTCTCGAAATGAATCTTCCTCACCTCGCAAGCCCCCTCAAGATCAACTCCGTTCAGATGGGCAACATCCATAAGCGACCACCCAATTGGGGCGTTCGCGGTCTTCTTTTTCCCATTAGGATCAACGAAGATGATATTAACACTGGGAAGCCCCTTAGCCGCAGCAGCGTCGACATGGAACGCTCGAGTGAACCTCACGAGGGGCCTGGCGGTGAGAGCAGCACTCATGCTACTTGTGGTCATAACGGGAAGCATGGACCGTATTAAAGATGACGACATGATCGTTGATCGCTCTACTGTGATGATAGCAATAAAACTGCAATGGATGGTAAGTGACAGCATTATCACAGGATGAGTCATTCTGCATAGCCTCAGATATTTCAGGAGAAACGCCAGGTGCTGGGATCGAACCTCCGACCACAACAAAAGCAACTGTAAAGCGATACGGAAACACCACCTTGTGATGTGCAAAATGAAATCGCCATCATCATAATACAGGTGTTGTTTCAACGAGGAAGTACGCACATTTAACTTTGTTATGCAACTTCAGACGATCTGCTACTTCCTATCGAACTTGAAACTGCTCTCTTACGCCATGTTTCGACAGTACATCGCTTATTCTTGGCGAATCCGGGCTCCCCAACTCCCATCGCAACACCAAGTTCGATGACGTATTGCCGCATGCTACTATCTACATCTACCTAGTTGAACATGCCCCCCGTGAACAATCCCAAGGCTTCATAATATGAACTACGTGTATCATAAACTACAAAATCGCCTAGCAATTGCTACTCGAACACGGATGTCGTCAGCCCTCTGAAGAACCTCCGAGAGCTTATGTATCACTAGTTCAGTGCGTTACTCACAAACCATGAGTGAGCAGTAGCAATTCAACGACCAATCCCTCGTGTACTCGGATCGTCCCATAACACCACTTCATACCACTCCCCCCTGAACTGATATCCAACTCAATGTCCCCACTGCATACAGGTGAGAAAAGCGTTGTCACTCAATAGTTGGTAGTGATACGTTGTGTATAGGCCGCCAGGCCTCGCTACTGTCACCGACCAAGGTCAAACACTAGCAGCATGCTGCTGGGCTTTCAGATCCTCCTCCTCTTCTCGCTGCTGTTGTTGCTGCTGCTGCTGTTCTTGAAGTCTTTGCTGTCGAACTTGAAACTGCTTTCTCACGCCGTCTCGAACACTATAATGGATCTTGAAACCGTATACCCTAACCAAAGAAGAAACATCACTTCTACAACAACAAACCCTAGCCACTGTCTCTCACGTTGGTTCGAATGGCACGGCCGGCGATGTGGGCCGCAAGTGGGGATATGCCATGAGGAACATATGACAGAACGAGCTAGCAAAATAGGCGCCGTCAATGATCTCCAACCTGAGAGCGAATAAGATGGCAACTTCTGTGGGCCGAGCTCACCTCGCTGATCGAGGGTAGTAAATCTCATTACACCGTGGACAGAAGACTTTTGTACCACACTGACCGGGCCGATCATTACCATAGGGCAGGACCTAAGGGCGAGAGTCACATGCATCTAATTTCATAGCAGTTCTTTGCATTTTTCTGAGGCATGTCGAGCACCACCGTAAGTGATATCAAAGGCTCCCCTAAAAATATATTCTGTCATTACTACCGGCTGCTTCGCCTCTTCACAGTCCGCATTCGGGCATAACCCGTATGTAAAGGCCGAGTACTTATCCAACATAGCCTGCATACCTCGACTAGTCAATAGGAACCTGGACCAATACTCCTCCCATTGTTCCCACATGGTGACACCCAACGCGTGTCACCCACCTGGCATGAATGAGCCCATACAACATCTGGGCCGCACTTTCTATTGCATCTTCTTTTGAGTGATCCAACTCGCCGCTATCCAGTTCCTCATCCTCTGAGCGAAAATAACAATAACACCAACAACCAAGGTAACCATGCAGAGCACACCAGCGTCTAGGATGACGTTAAGGGCGTGGTCATAATAAGGAACTATATCCCGCAACCCAGTAAGATTGAAATCATCCAGTACATAGTCCTCATCTACTTCTACGAAGTACCTGACCCAACGACACTACCACAACAGTGCCCTCCCTTCCCAACACTACTCATTGCCCTTGCAGCGACAGAACCACTCAATCCAGCTAACGCCTTCATCTTCACTGAGATCATCTGATGCCTGCATTCATACAGAGTTGTCACTAAATCCACTTTTCCTCTCCCATCTCACCTCATCAGAGAGACCCTCAGAATCGCTTTTTGACATACCAGGGACTAAACAAAGGAGATACGGAAATTCTATTCCCACACGAAATTCCATCGACCGGTTTTGGCCGCGCATAATATAAAGTAACATTCAGGTCGGGATGATGCCGATCAAAGGTCATCCATCATCAGTTTTATTCCCTGTACTCAACATTACCTCCTCCTGCTGTCTCGCGTTGGGCCATAGAAGTGAAGGGAAAGGAAAGCGGGCAACGGAAAACTAAAGGGAAATATATTTAGAAATTTTTATAAATTTTGTAATATTTTTTGAGGATGTAGTTATGCTAGTTGTTTGCTTCACAACAGCACATGCTAGAGATCAAGTCCCGAGTGATATTTATGAGATGATCAGGGATTGAACTCGGGACGGCTGAGTTCAAACCCAGCTCACCAACCAACTCAACCAAACTACAGTGGGTGAACCTCCAGCACGATAGTGTCTTTATACAGTCGTGAACCATTTCTTATTCCCACACCTATCCCCGATACAGGCCTTCCCCAAAACGCTGATATCCTTACAATCCAAAATTATAATCTATCACAAACATTATCCCAACGAAAGCGGCCATCACGACGGCAGTAACCACCTAAGACATCACACTGATACGGTGAAGAGAAAGCCCGCCCTTGGTTTGCCTCAGGCCAGGACTAGCATGCACATACAGGGATGGCAATCTACTCTTACCGTCCTTGGAAACTTATCATAAACCCTACAAGTGTTGAGTGAACAAGAATAACAACAGGCAAACCGCGGCTATCAAAAACCACTGAATTCGTTCCCCATTGATGACAGCATAAAACCTCAACAGCCCGACACCGAGGCGAATCCGCATGGGGAGTAGGAGGAATCATGATCACCGCAAAGGCAATGGTAATCCACCATCATCAGGAAGGTCAACTGAGAGACTCAGCCCCACAACCCCCCTAACTATGCCCTTCTCAGCTCGCATCTTATCAACGTCTCAATGACACTTCTTGTTGCCTTCACAACGGTCTTAGTTTGTTCTGGGAGACGATATTTCACCACTTGCACTCAGCGGTATTGTCGTATTTCACCTCACCCGAAGGGTGAATCTGCTACCCAGTCGTCGAGACTGGATGCCCGACTTCTCTTCCAGATTCCCCCCATAACGGTTTCGGCTTCCCCGCCATATCTACGTTATTCCTTGACGGTAAAAAACGGTCTTCGTACAAGACAACCTTCTTGTGAACCACACAGACATATCGAGCATTGCCTACACCAGCTAGCATCAGGAAAAACCGTGAAGAATTTGACCTAAGTCCGGTAGATACAATAACAACGAATGACGATATCCCCAATTACATAGAAACAGCAGTTTTCCACCGTAATGGCATTATACACATTTGTTTTCGTTTATCAACAGCCTCAACTAGTGACAATGCGTGTTTAGTTAACCTATGCGGAGTAGCCAGGTTTATGCTCTACACGCCTCACATTGTGGATCATGCGAGACACGAGTAAAACGTCCATTAATAGGTTCGAAGATGATAGGGCGTGTTCGTTTGACCCATGAAGACACCGAACAACGATTATGTTAGAGTATTAAATGCGTGAATAATTCCGGCTACGGAAAAATTTCAACAGTAAAAAACAGCAGTGTATAATTTACCCACTCTAAATCGTCCAATGTAACTACAAAATATAACACAACTCTCCCAGTCGCTGAAACGTCTATTCTGTGGGCATGATGAAACTGGAAGATTCCGTGAGGCAAACCCGTTTAATCTGATCAACTATTTTATCGCATTCGACATCCTCTCCCTCGAGTTTGGCCAAAGCGGAACCTTCAGCCGAACGTAATTCAATCAGCGGTACGCCTTCAATGGCGGCTCGCCAGGGAACAGCAGTCGCAGAACTGATAGAAAAACCATCAAAATGATCACTCAAGTCGGTGCTCACCTGAAATTGATCCTTTCTGCTGTTATTTCTTGCAACACCCGAGAATCCCCAATGTCCCGCGCCTCCTCGAAATAAGAGTGGTAAATCTGCAGCGCCAGCTAATACGTGATAAACCGCTGGCAACTACACCTTAGTAAGTAAAGCGCTCATTTCTTCCACTGTGAGGCGATCCTGCAGACTCAACACTGCACGATGGGCCAGAGTGGAATCGGTCACGCGGCGGTCCCACGAAAAGCTTATTCCTACCATCACAGAGGACAATGCGATCTACACTACTTCAATTTCTATAGATCCTACAGAAACCTATTGACTATAGGCATCTAAGCACTGTATGGACGTATTTTGAAAATACGTCCAAAAATAAATTGATTCACTGTGACTCCAAAAATACGTAGAAAATACTATTTTCTACTACACAACGGTTCATAGTTTTCTGGAAAAATGAATGCGCTGTATAACACTCGAGACTCATCTCAAAGTCAACATGCTGGAAACTCAACAATAAATTCCCTCACTTCATAAGCACTTGCCTTCCAAGGCGTGGAAAATCGTCTACATCGACCAACTCACCAAGAGTCCGTGCTGTAGCAAGACTAGCATTGAACTTGGGATCTTCCAAGTGGCTTCGATCAATACCATATACATCAGAGAGATACTTAATCACCTGCGGTGACTTTACATGATTTCCTTATAAAACTCGCACTACTAGTTGGCCCTTCGGTGGGGTCCTCATAGGCTGATCATATACACTATACGGCTCATGAACTAACTTCAGATTAGCAGAGCCTTTCACTTTATCCAACGCTCTCGTGAGATGCACATGGCCGACTAAAGCAGCAGTACACAGCTTCACAACGGTCACTATACAAAGAGGCTTACTATAGCACCATGGACATACGAAATCAGCAGTTACCGAGATGATGAGCTGACGAGACATAGGCAATCGATTTAAACTCCCTCAACGATTCGGCCCAGGCAAGAGTGTCACTGCCCCCTGTACAGTGCGAGTCGGACTCGACTAGTATGCGACTGTGCTCAGTTGATCATTAATGTTTCAAAGTCCTATCCCACCAATTAGACCGTAGCGAACTGTATGATCGCAAAGCTTCTAATAGCGATCGAGTAAATCAACCGCTGCCCTCAGCAGGTCCAGCAATACGCCCATGAAACCAATACGGGTAGTCCTGCTCTATTGGGCGCCTCGGGTGCATAGTCAAGTACGCCCATAAATAGCAACAACACGACATACAAAAGAGTGTATCAGTAACTCAGTAGAAAATCGTCAAAGTACGATGATGGGGTTTGATCTCATCCCTGACAGCCTCCCCTTCCTGCCACAACAACCAGTCCAATGTCACATCGAAAATATCTTCCCGTTGGGCAATCTCGACAATCTCATGGCACGCGTGCACAGTACCTGTCAGGAGCTTCTATTTTGACTGATGAAAATTGCAGGGCAAGCATATACCGCAACAACGGGGAATTTCGCGTTGTGCGTGCGTGCGTGATGAGCTATTCATACTTAACAACCAATTTTCACCATCATATCTCCACAACGATCCTTACTTCCCCACTAGACAATCAAGAGATGCGGACTAAGCGAACTCCGCCCCTTCGTCGCGAAGACCTAGTCTACAAAAAGATATTCAATTTACACGGGTATTTTCAGAGGAATTACAATCAAGTTTCACCCGTTTCACGTGAAAACCCCGAAATTTGCGCTATGCAGTAGTCGTGAAATATGTTTTTCACTAGAGTTTTTCTTATCACTAGGGTGAAACTCCAATGACAAGGGGGATTTGAAATAGAATGCTTTCACTTGCGATTTCAACTAAATGATTTCAAAATTTCAATTCCGAGTTCGGATTCAAATTCCTGCTATATTATGATCGGAAAAATTTCCCACCGTGGAAGGGAAACGTGCTTCCCTAAGTCGAATTTTCAAATCAAAAAAGTGTCCACTCCAACTCACATGCTCTAATCTCGAGCTCCGTCCGACTCCCGGCCGGTATAGTCCGTCCCGAGTCGATTATATTCTCCAATCGCGAACTATATATGAGAATTCCCTTATGACGCAGCAGCTGTGGGACCTGTCGATACACAACAGTGTGGGATAAAAATATTATGAAATTTCATATCGTTATATGCTATTGATGTGATTATACTATATATATTGTCTATTACATCACTTATATTACACAGGTTCATTGTAATACTATATACAGTGATACCTATTTATATATAATTATGAATAGTAAATATGCACATGATCACCGACATGTGTTGGTGACAAAAATTGTGAGGAAACCTTCAGTGGTTTCTTCTACACTCCTACCCGAATTCGCCTGTAAACTTGTATAACTGGTGAGAAAACTCCTGAGCTCAGCTGAGGGAAGCAAACATATTTTTCCAAAACTGTTTGACAATGCAGATGATGACACTCTCCTTATAGTATTAATGCTCTATCATTCGAAGTGACATCCATTATAATGCACTCTAAACTTCATATTAGAAATTTCAGTGCAAATTCGTAAGTTGGCTGAATTTAAATGCCTGATATAAAGTTAGAATTAAGGCTCCACCTTTTTCACCGCCACTATGGAGGCACTCACCCTATAATCAGGGAACATCGTCAGAGCCCTCATATCTCGAAAGTTGAGCTTCTCTCTCACACTCTTCCCATCACGCCTAAATGCTCCCCAAACATCCGCTGTGCATATCTGGGCTCGTTTATATAGGAAAACCTGAACTTCCACATGGAAAGGTCATCACCTAATCCTACGGTATTCCACCTGTCGGCCAGTATCAGGGTCGATAGCTTGATCTCTGAAGCCAGAGAACTGAGCTGATAGTATTCGCATAAGCCGCAACGCAGACCCATCAGCCGACTCGACCAGTTCTAACGCCGAGCCGTGATATTCATCTCGAAGGCCCCTGGCCACCTCCCGAACTAGGCGGACTCTCTCGCTGATCCTAAAAGCGGATCAGTGATGTACACTCTTCGAACAGTCGCGGAAGTTCAAGATGGAGCGAATCTGCTACTACTGCAAAACAGAATAAGTGCGGAGCGAAGGAGCGGAATATATCGCAATTCGTATCATTTTCGGTCTGCGGACGAATTATCATTATACCACAAGTTGTGATCCACAAATGGAGAGAATTTCGAGAGCTAAATGGACGGCTATAACTAGAAAAATATAAATATCTCCACCTCAGTTTTCAATTGACCGGAAAATGGTTGGTACGATGATGACGAGCAAAACGCCTTTCTGTCAAGGATTCGATCGCTACTGAGCAGCATAATCTCACGAAACAACTCACAATGGGAATTCCTGAGGCCTCCATCCGTCCTTCTCATCTACTATCCCAGCACCATGATTGAACCAATCACAGACCTCATCAGCTGTTACCTCAGCGAGACGGTCCATCTTACACCACTACGTAAGAAAATCGGTCAAGGGCAATCACAGCTGAGCCAATTCCCAACATGAAAACTTATGGTACGCTCCCGAAAATTTTCACTACAACCCCTGTAAAACAGCCACTCTCGGCACGGTCGGCACATCATCGCAGCAGCTCTAAGGCCGATCAAGCTGAAATAGTTTTTCCGCCAAATTTCGAGCGGAGTTGTTTTTCCGAGAAAAAACTGGCCCGAAATTTGGCCACTACTACAAATAAACTACCACTGGGTGAATGCAATCGCAGTTGTTACATTCTGCCTAGTTCTCAATCAACTGGGGCGTTCAGAACTCACCTCGGACCCCTGAGGGCCAGTGAGAGCCCACTTCACACCATTACCCAGCTGCTCGTATTCGAAGTTCCCAGCTGGCCAGAAACAGAAGTTCATACAATCCAATAGCAGCACGTACCTTGCAGACTACCATGTGGCTACGAATATCTCAAGGAGTGGTATGATACAGCGCCTTCATAGTATTACAATGCTGTGAGTTCTGCTCCATCATCAGTGGTGACATCAACAATCAAATGACAGTCACATTGGTCCCACGGTCTAGCGGCGGTCCTAGCATCCCCCCTCAGAGAACCTGCAAAGGTTCGAATCTGGTTCTGTGATACTTTTTTGAACCTACGCGCGAAGTCGTCGAGTGCCTTGGTATTGATGGTAACATCATGCGCCGTCCTCACCACGTCCTTGGTAGAAATGAGTACTTCATTCAGCGTCGCTGCCTCTACCATTGCTACTTCCGAACGTGCTACTATAGAACGATTATTTCCGGCTGATATCCCTTGGGTTAGTTTTTCCCCAGCATAAACGTTCTTGACTATATAATCGTCAAAATTGCTCCGCTCAGGTATGTGTTCGTACATGTTATGTATGTAGGGGTCTTCCACCAATGACAATAACAATTTTTATTTTTATTGGTTCTATTTCTTATAATCAGTTATCACACACGTTGGTTGACTGTTAGAGGTATCGAAGCACTGGTTGATGGAACATAGAGATTCTATCTACAACCACTATCATCAAATAGTTTAATCAAGTTGGAGGTGAGATTCCGTAGCTGTGCGTTCTACACCTTTAAACATCTAGTTCGTCTTTGGAACCATCAATTTCGTCGGGACGCGCGAAGTTGGAGGTACGAATCCGAAACGGGAAGATCATATTCGCAATTAGAACTTTCAACTTCGTTATAGAACATCCAAGTTCGTCCGAAGTCGATAGGAAGTTCAAGCTCGTGTTAATAGAACTTTCAATCTCGACTCTCGAACCTTCGAGTTCGTCATAGAACTTTAAATTTCGTCGAGTACACCTTCAGACCTTCAATTTCGTCCCTTTAGGAAAATCGACTTCGTCGTTCGGAACTTCAAGTTCGTGTTTGCGGGGCAATCATGCCAGTACTCTCACGATGAGACAATGTATAGACTATACGTTGTTTCTAAACAAGTGAGAATTTCCCGAAATTCCCTCTGAATTTCCGTACTGTCACCGACCATGTGCATATTTTTCAGCATTGTTTCCGACACACCACGTTTGACTTGCATTTTTCCTATCGATTCATACCATCCCTCATACATATCATTATCCAAGGCGATCGGTCCTCCACCAATGTGATTGTGTAATAATACGCCTACGTAGAGTCGGGTATACTTACGAAGTACAGTTTGATGTCTGTGGGTACGCGTGCTGCTGACTGTTGTTGTACGCATACCCTAATTCTGACAGAAATCCCTCCATGTTGTTGCGTTCACCACTTTGTCTCTGTAGCATTCTGAGGACCGTCCCGGATATGCAATAGGAGTCTTAAGGCGATAGGCTATAATATTTTGGACATAACCCATTCACAATTTCGAGTGTTTTTGAGCAGTGTGGGAAAATATGCAAATGATCAACTACATATGTTGGCGACAATATGAGAATTTTGTGGAAGTTCTGGGATATCCTTATTGGTCTCTGAACACTTCTACCCGAATTTGTATGTAAATTTCTATAATTAGTGTGGAAACTTTTGAGCTCAGCTGAGGAAAGTGCGCATATATTCCTCGCCTGATGATTTGGAGGGCACGAAGTGCTAGGAAGTGCAAATACACGAGCTAGTAGCGCACCAATCCCATACCCCATACCCCATGCCCCATGCCCAATCCCATACGTGAACCAGCATGAATGAGGCTCAACTCTGCCGTGCGAGTCTGTTTCAGAATGATTGACAGTTCCAATCAGGTGCCCCCGTTGAGCATGATGCCCGGAGCATCACTGATAATGTTTCATTGCCGACTCGGCAGTGTCGAGAAGGCAGAACACGAGGATTTTCAGGTTAGTAAGGAGGCGCTATTGCTATGGAAACGGGATGAGATGACGAACCATTCCGCAGTTGATCTATTTTTCTCCGGTGGGGGTTCGCTCGGACGGCGGAAGAACGGCATTCTTCGTGATTTATCGCTATATATATGTATTTTATAGATGTCAGGGCCTAATTATGATCAATGGTAGTACACCATGAACTGTAGATCGGACGGTTCTTGTAGGAGATGCATTCATACCAGCTACGACTTTATGTCCCAGATTTGAGTACTCAGTGAAGAAATAAAACACATGTGTTGTACAACATCAATCTATTGTCCATGCATGATAATGTGAGCATGCTAGAATGTAACACTTAGAGGTCGACTCCAACCTCTTTCACCGATGCCTCTGTCCCTTCTTGGGTCCGGTATCTGAATGCATACAGTAAACGGCCAGTTTAAAGTGATGGTGATCGATAATTCAGATTTCAAGCTTTCGAATGTCCCTTTACCTGTCGCCCATCTCGATGTCGACCTCCTCTCGGGCCAGCTTCCTGCTCATGACCTTCTTTAGGAAGTAGAGCTGCACGCAGTTGGCGATCAACCCGAGTACGCTGATCGCAATCAGAACTCCAACTAGCTCCGCTGGCCACCCTGTGCTAGCCGCACAGACGGTGCCAGCTGGAGAGTCTTCAGCAGCCTTCGGAGTACTGAGGATGAAACAAATAAAGTCGACGCGAGGAGACCTCACCGCTTACTCTGACTCGGGAGCCACAGTTGTTGGACTTGTCGTTCCCTCGGGAGTGACACTGGACCAATCCAGGTCTGCGGCCGCAGGAGTGTCAGTCTCCGGCGGCTCGAGGGTGTAGCCTGACAAGTCGATGCCAACTGCGGCTGGCGTTGTGCCTGGACCGTCAAGGACGATGCCGGACAGGTCCAGGCCAGTTGGTGTGGGAGTCATTGCGGGCTCGAGGGTAATCTTGCTCCATTCAATCTCGCCGGATGCGAGGGTAGCCACGATGAAGATACTTGCGAAGATTTGCATAGCAAAGTGTAAGTATTACTACAAGAAGTGAGCAGCAATGAGGATTTGAATCGCATCGAAGCTTCATGCGACCGTCATCCCTTGCTTGAACGACCAACAATGCATGTTTCGTGCAAGTTGTAGTCGATAAGTGTTGCCAAGGCTCCAAGGCGCACGATGCTCAATTTCCATGCTGCTGTGCGCGTGAATCGTCCCTAGTAGATGTCTCCATAGCTATCGAAGGGGAGTCGGACCCTTGGACGAGCAAGTAGTCCCTGAACGGTTCCGGCAGGTACAAGAATCGTTACTACGTCTTATTTTTCTTTTTGAGTGTAATTTTCCATGGATGGTTTCAAATTGAAACCGGACCACAATCTCCAGTGGAGATATAGTCGGTATCACGGACCATTTAATGGCCCAAGGGCGGGTTGTCGAGTTCGACGAATGGGTGGGATTGCGATGAGCGACGTGATTTGCACTGTATAGTTTTTGCAAATGTCTGACCCTGACCTTAGTGACGACTCGAAGGAGTCCCCAAAGCCTAAACGAGAGTTCATATTCTACAAGGAAAGATCTCTACTGTACCGACTGGACGGTCCTCTGTGGTTAATACTGCATGCTTGGCTGGTCACTTACATAGACATTAGGGAGGATGGGGAGTTGGAACACTTTGTTCCATTGGTAGTAATGATAGTGGGTCAGATCACACTTGTGATGGCTTTCATATATATTCGATAGATAGTGTTATATACTCGTTAAGGAGTGTTACCATATAGTATGTACTCGATCGCCTTAATATAGTGTTGGAGGAGGAAAATATGTTCGCTTTCCTCAGCTGAGCTCAGGAGTTCGCTCACTAATTATAGAAATTTATATACGAATTCGGGTAGAAGTGTACAGCAACCAATGAGAATTCCCTAAATTTTTCTCAGAATTTTCATTTTCTCAACGACACATGTGCATATTTTCTCACACTGGCCTCATAATCGAACTAGTAATCGAATACGTTATATCAGTGAAGTAATTAGTACGTTTATCTATTTGAGTTTATCATCATCGTTTTTGATTCGTAACACGGTGCTTTATGGCTCGTGTACTGAGTATTCCGTCATCGGAGGTGTCTCTGAGAGAGATGTTCAATAAACTGACGTGTCATGCTCGGAAAACTATGCGGGAACGTGCTGATTTTTATCTGTAGAAAGGGGTGGCGTCTCCCGCAGTTCTTAGATTATTGTGTTTTTTCTCTAGTCGTAGAGAATCGATATAGTAGCGATAACTAATAATTAACTTTCATTAGTGGGTACTTCTTCTTCTTCCTCAGGTCCTTAGTGGCCTATCCCACCTCTTGGTGCATCTAATGAGCCATTGGTCGGTCACAGCGCGGTGCCTTATAGCATATACTCGCCGGCCTTCCTACACCCAGGAGGTTACTCATGTGAGGTAACCACTGATAACCAATTGCGAATCTTTGAGTCGGCGCTAATTATCGTCTTGGTTGCAGTGAGGGCGTCTATACAAAGAAATTTTCTTCGAATTATGTACGTGCATCAGCATTTCGTGTGATAGGTGTATTAATGGGAAAGCAAGAATGTTGGTTCTCTAGAGTCTGGGGGGGGGAGTATGTTGACAAGCGATCGGATATTATTGGAGTTTTACCTTAGTGATATGAAAACACTAGTGAAAATTGTATTTAACGACTACTACAGGCCGCGTTCTCACCGAGTTTTACGCCACTTCACGTAAAACGGGTGAAGCTCCATTGTTACGCATATGCCGTTCATGTCAGGGTTGTCACCACAGGAAGGTCACTGCTCTGTCCTATACAGAGAAGAAACGGAGAGCAAGTGTGGATAGACTGTGAAAGGAAGAAGCTTGTGTTTGAGCCTAAGGACGGCACGTTCCATCGACCTAAGTAGTAACAACTACGTGAGGGGGTAGGGACAAATACATGATTTCGACTATTCCTCGGGACACTCAGCGGGCCTTCTATTTCGGGTCGTGTGTCCATTTAATGGAGTCTCGCTCGTTTTACGTGAAGTGGCGTAGAACTCGATATTCGCGGTGATATGCAGTGGTCGTGAAATATATTTTTCACTAGTGTTTTCATATCACGGGTGAAACTCCGTTGTTTTCCTGTCCAATTCTTGGCAAACTACACTATCGAATAACGCGATCAGTGTGTTGACTGCCTCCGTTATCCGAAGTATGGGAAATATTAAATTTAGTTTCACCCGTTTACTGTGAAATGGCATGATACTTCATGCAAATTTAAGACGTGCATGTCTTCACGGCCAATAACACAATCATTTTCCCGCGAAGTGAAATATGTTCTTCACCAGTGTTTTTGAAACTCCTATGTACAGTATACGGTAGAGGGGAGAGTTCATTTGTCCCGACCGGGGTTCGAGCCCGCGTCCTCTTGGTATGGAATACGTCAGATACCCTGTCGACCATACATTGGATTTCTATAACAACAGTCGTGGGTTATCAGAGAAAGAAATCACTAAGGCGGAGGCCACTTACTTCGACAATACCCTCAACCTGCCCGTGAGTTCGTAACCGAAAGGTCCCTGGTTCGATCCTCGCATCCTGCACCACTCAGATTCCACAATTTCAAGAGCTGCTGCTACAACACGTGACTGCGCCCTTCTTCGTCTTCCAAATGGTCTGTGGACTTTTATGGTTATTCGATGAGTAAGTCTATGGTGTACGTGCTGATGCGGAACAGGAACCTAGCCGGCTTTGAGAAATGCTCCTATTTACATGGGAAAGGGATCGAAGAATGTGTTCCTAGCCGTATAGAAATGAGTTCCCACGGGAACATTATAGATTCCTGAATGATTCCTCCTCTTTGCAGTTACTGGTACTACTCTCTGATGACCATAGTCCTCCTTATCATGTTAGAGATAATGACGGTAATAAGGCGCTTCCTTTTCCGACCAATTTTGACCGTAGATAAATCGGCGTATAAGAGACATGTCGGAAACACGTTCGATCAAACCACCGATTTATGAGCTAGCAGTTTTGAGGGAAGGTCGCTGGACATTTATACCCTCGAGTAGACTTCTACCAGGAGACATCGTTTGTGTAACTACCAACAACCCGGTAGTATTCCAAAATTGCATCGGCGTGGACGATAGCCGTTTTAGGTGGTGCCTGCTGATATGGTGATCCTCGCTGGCTCGTCGGCTGTGGTTAACGAATCTATGCTGACTGGTAGGCTGCGATGCGGGAAATATTTCTAAAACGTTTTGTGAAAGCAAATAGGAAAGTCTCAGATGATGACGTCTGTTCATGAGAGAAAATATAAAAATTTCACATAAGACGATTTGGGCGTTTTATGGTGGGTAAAATATTCCTTGTTGTATTTCAGGGGAGTCCACACCTAATCTCAAGGAGGCCATTATATCTACTTCTGATATCAAACTGGACTGCCGTGGTGCTCACAAATCTAACATATTATTCTCTGGCACCAGACTGGTAGTGACGAACCCCCCCAATGCGGCCGAGTCGGGAATCCTCAAGAAGGTAGTGTAGTAGTATACTAGTTGGAACAATGTGGCTGCCAGGCCCCTTATAAACGAGGTGCGGTATGCTATGTATTGCGTACGGGGTTCGACACTGTACAGGGAAAGCTGGTTCGGACGATATTGTATTCGTCGGAACGTGTCACTGGTGATCCGTGGGCTGGTGGTTTCCTATACAAGGGACTGGGTTTAGGTACCAATACTCGAGAGGCTACTACTTTCCTGTTGGGATTAATTGCGGTCGCGTTGGTAGCATCTGTATACGTTGCTTATTACCGTCTAGTGGTGGAGCCTAGTCTCACGCCCTCCAAGTGAGTTTGTGTATTTGTCCTCTCGCATAAAATTATGAAGTCTGCCAGGTGGAAGCTTTTCCTCTCCTTAACACATATCATCACTAACGTAGTGCCTCCGGAGTTCCCTGTGACAATGAGTATTGCGGTGACTATGTGTTTGGGTCACCTAATGCGAAATAATGTCTACTGTACGGAACCGTTCCGGCTTCCGTTCGCTGGACAGGTGAGCAGGGGTGTGGTTGCTAGCGTTTACCCCTCGTGATTTCAGGTAGATGTGTGTTGCTTTGATAAGACGGGAACGATAACCAATGGGGAGATGACGTTGCAAGCGACTAAAATGCTGCCGGGGGCTAGCACTGTGGATTCGGGGAAGTAGGGCTTGGGTTGGCGATAGCGACGTCCATCTAAGCTTGGGTATATCTAGTGCATAACACTATTGGGCTTCGTGACGTGATGAGGGTACATAATTTAGCATTTCGAAGAAGTAACGGATGCGGGATTCGAACTCGCGCCCTTTCTGTTATAGAAACTTGCGTTTTTGGAAGAGCTTCTATGATTGTGAGATTTCAAAATGTTAACTTCAAAGTATTTTATAGAGTTATAAACTCTTTATATTAATCTAGTAAATTATCAAAACGCGTATTTGGGGACTTCCACGAAGTGTCGGTGAGATTTTACCCAACACTGTCTCCTTAGGTTGCTGGATCTGGTATTGTCTTGTTGTCACACTCTCACCGCTGTGGACCCTATGGCTACTGTACTAGTCGGGGACCCTCTAGAACAGGCCATGTTCACGGCAGCTAGGACTGCTACTAATGCGGCTGGTAGGCTCCTAGGAGGGGGCGAGATTATACCAAAATGAATCGGCTGATTTACGGTATCGTGTCTTTTCACTCAGCTATATATCTTCCTGGAAGTGGGCCGCCGACGTTCCAGATCTTCGGTACGCAGAAGTACACCCAAATGGCTAGGTTCCCCTTCAACAGTGAACTGCAGCGTATGAGCGTGGTGATGAAGTAAGGTTCCATGGAGATGGTCATTTGCTCCTGTCGGACATGGTGTCAGGCACGAGAACGGCCCTGCTAGTGAGCTGCTGGTATTGAGCAAAGGCAGTCCTGAGATGATGGAGACTCTTCTGAAGGAGGTGCCTCAAGACTACGAGGAGTAAGCTGTTGGGTGCGAAGTGTAGAAGTTACGGTATGGTTACACAGGACGTACCAAGATCTCGCCGGAGAGGGCCTTAGAGTAATCGCTGCGGCTTATAAGCGTGTGAGCAACCATAGTGACACGAGTGATAGAGAGGAGGTTGAGAAGAACCTGCACTTTGTGGCTTTTATTGCATTTCGGAACGAAGTCAAAACGGGGACTATTAAGGCTGTGAAGCATTTAAAAGAGATGGGCAGGAAAGTGTAGGTTATTGACCATTTTTAATCCTTAGTTTTCATCTCGGTGTTGTCAGACCTTTGTGTATGATCACTGGTGACCATCCGTCCACATCTTGTGAAGTGGCCCAGTCTGTTGGTCTCAAGTCGACTGAATCTGATGGTGTGTTGTTATTGTCCGATGATGCTTCCGAGTGGCGACCACTATTCGATTCTGAGGACTACTCTGTGTCACTAGATTGGGGATTCGAACACAGTGATGAGTACACGTTGTGTGTACAGGGCAAATCGGTTGGGGCCCTACTTGAAAAGCCGGACATTGACTTGACCAAGATCACAGTCTTCAGTCGTATGTCTCCGGTCCATAAGGAAGATGTCATCAAGCGGATGGTCGCTGACGGCAGGGTTACGCTCATGTGCGGAGATGGCACGAACGACGTTGGAGCTCTCAAAGCGGCCCATGTTGGCATATCGTTGTTGTCATCGGACTCTGGTCCTGTGTCGAGGAAGCGAAAGCAACAACTACGTGATGCAGACCTCCATGGGCCACCTATTGCGAAGATTGGCATGGACGCTAGTGTGGCGGCCCCCTTCACTTACCGTGGGGAATACATCAAATGTGTTCCCTTCGTGCTTCGATGTGGTCGGGCGGTCCATTCTGTGGTGATGACCATGTACAAAATACTCGCATTGAATTCGCTTTTGGGAGCGTTCAGCTTGTCGGTGCTCACCCTCCACGGAGCGAAGTTTGGCGACTTTCAATCAGCGGTGGAGGGCATTGCGGTATCGCTCATTTTCACAGCGATGGGCCGCTCGAAACCGGAGAGCCGCTTGTCGCAGTTCAAACCAGTGACGAGCATTTTCCATTGGAGTGTACAACTCTCACTGGGTTTGCAGTTGGTGACACATGTCGTTCTACTGCTGGCCGGGTGGAAGCTCGCGGTTTCATATACCTCTGAGGAGTCCGTAGATCTAGAGTCAGCATTTGAGCCAACTTTGTTGAACTCTCAAATGTTCATTCAGACGGCCGCGTGCCACTTCTCCGCATTTCTGGCCAATTACGAGGGGCCGCCTTCTATGAAGCCGATGAAGGCAAACCGGCCGTTGTGGATGGGTCTCATCGTTGCAGTGAGTACGATTATTTTCGTGGCGAGTGAAGCTTCTCCAGATTTCAACGAGTTATTATCTATAGTGCGGTTCCCTGATAACGAGGGTTACCATCGATGGTCTATGTTCCTGGTCATTTGTCACTTTCTGCTTCCCGTATGTGCCGGTCGTTGGTGTATGCATGTCGAGAAGTCTGCGCAGGGCTACGAACAGAGATGGTTACTGTGAGTATTGCGAAGATAGTTGATGCCTCTTTGAAGTGCCGTCTTCATCACGCAGTACTCGACGCTTCTATGTGTACTTTCTTCATTTCATCTCGTTTTGAGTTGTGGAGAGTATCACCATTATTGTCTTCTAACAAAACGACCATCATTATGGAAGAGCTTGCCACAACCAGATCATGTAGGTGGCCAAATGTTTATACTAAAATTCTCCGTGATGAAGTGTTACATACTTTTCACTTCTTACATATCTCGCACTTATCATGCATCGCGATGATGAAAAAAACACAGCTTGTTTTTTTCTGTAGTAAGACAGAGTGCCCTTCACATCAACACTGAAATGATTACCGACGAGTTTCATCAGAATCATTAGTACAACCCAAAACGACGATGAGCGAAGGAAACGCTTCCACTTCAGAGATGTGATACATGTGGACCATGTGGACGACCGAGCATTTAGATATATAGTATAAATCGATGATGACTGCGAGACTCAGCCAGAAATAAACGTTTATATAGTCGGTTGGGGGCATTCCCTTGATATGACATGCAAAGATGTTGCCGCTAATGTGAATCGATAAAAACACCAATTACTTGGCTTTGCAGTATTGGGTCTCTTATAAATAACATATGCATTGTGACTACTGCGGCGTACGGTCCGGATTCACCGGTTGTGATATAAAGGAGAAAGGGGATACTGAGAGGTCCTCAACTGAGGGGGCATATTCGTGGCAATAGCCTGTTGGGTTAGCGAAGTCATCAGTGAGCCCTCTAAGGACTGACTCCGCAGCAAAGAGTGCGGGCGAGTAGTCGTCGTTATCGACAGGATTGCCACTATCAACCGTGAAAGGCCCAGGCTCGACCGCAGGAGTGGCAGCAGTGCTCGCTGGAGATGACCATTCGTAGGTGAAGAAGTCCGAAGTGATACTAGACCGTCTCGAATCTGAACAGACGATGACCGTATCGATCTCGAAGGTCTCAATGGCTTACCTCCTCCGCACTTGTCTGCCTGGCGCTCAAACACTTGAACGCTGATGGGCCAACCAGCTACAGTGTGCTGCGATAACGCGAGTATATTGGAAACCGCCATGGGAGACTTCATTACGACAAAGCCCATAGAGGCGGGACTGACACGAAGTAATGTGGGGGCGACAAGTGCGGGGCTCACCGAGCCTTGCCCGGGTGGGGGCCGACGGACTTCTGGCGCCTCCACGGCAATAAGAGAACCTTCTTGACTTCGCCGAACCCAGAGAAGTACTGCTCTAGAATACTCGCTGATTGGAAACTAAAGGAGCATTCAGGGAAGGTACCAACGATGAGCCCACCGCAGTTTATGAATCTTCCTAACGATGAATATACAGGCTTCTTGTTCTTGATCTAGCTGCTTCAAAAGCTCAGGCAGGCAGTAGCCGCCGCCGACCACAGGAGTGCCGTCGAACATTGCCGCTGGAGTAAGTAACAACGCACTGTCGTTTCGGTCAGGAGTACGAGAATCTGCCAGAAAGCACACATTACTAGTCAGTGACAGTTGCAACTTACCGTAGTCCTCGGGTCGAACGAGTTGGTACTCAGTGAGGAGCCGCTTCAACTGATGGTTTTGCTCCTCGAGCTCGCGAGACCGGCGGCGTTCGTCTTGAAGCTGTTCTTGAAAGGAGTTACAAGCCACAATGAGAGCTGCTTCGTTCAGATGCTGCGGAGTGTACATATATAGATAGCAATATGAATGAAGACTGGTTGGCAGTCGCTACGAATAGTCGTCGTTCGCCGAGTCGGCTCAAATCGAAGGAGTATCTTTGCGTTGAGTATTTTCAAGTAGTTGTAAGATGTGCAAGAGCGGAGTATCTATAGGCTGTGAACAACGTAGTTGGATGCTCCCGCGGCATCTAGGTGTATCCCGAAGGGTATGCGATATCTACTGTCGCAGAGGCACGGCTCTGGTTCGTCGCCTGATGCAAAGTGTACGGTTCATGCAACTATGTTCCAACTCAGCGAAAAGAGACAGCAGCTCCGCCCTTTGCCTGTAGGGGTGGGAGGGACCAATGGGACCGAGTGCCCCGATGCATGTCTGTCCAGATCTACCAGGTTTCGGCGGAGGAGTGGTATGACACTCAAGGCGGTAAAACACAGGTCAAAATATGATAAGTCAATGATTTTTCGGGATCCCCTTCACCCGAGGGTTCTCGCGGTTGACAACAGTGCTGTGCTGTGTAATGTTTGCGGTATTTGAGTTTCGACTTTCTGAGACCGTCTAATACCAACGGCCTCGCCCCTTCTTGTCGTGGTGACTACTACGCCGGCAAATGGTCTTGTTGTTGCCGAAAATGACAAGGGCCCGACGCTAGCTCGATTCACCCGGCTTGATAGTGTCAGGATGACAGAAATTCGCCCTGGCATGTCAAGTTGATCATGACCACCGAAAGCGGCCAGATGTCAACAGTGAACTGATTGTCGATATATATTCGTTATGGGTAAACTTGGATCGTCCAACATTTTTTATAAAGCCGGTAACAGCCGCAGCGCGCTCCTTCGCAATATCCTCGATGCGCACACAAAGAACATCTGCTTTGATTTGAGTGGAGGTTTTAAGGTTATGCTGGCGGACTTGAAGACGGAAAGATGTTCGCGGACATGATGTTGGTAACTAAGACAAGGTCAATCCGGCACACGCTGTATTTGATCCTTTTCTTTCAGTCCAAGAATTCTTTGATATCTCCGATCAGCTTTAAACCGCTTCATGCAATGATCCGTCCCATTCCTGTGTGTCGTTCTGTATGTTCCCCATATACATATCACAATTTATATCCTAGCGCTTTGTGCGACAACTTAGCGCACGCCCAGCCATGTATTTTGACAGTAGTTTCTAGCTACACTATTGTACTAACTCATATCAGAATGCTCGCATCACTCCAGAAAGCTGCTACTACTACCGCCGCCACTGCCGCTCGAATGGCTGCCCCGGCTGCTCGCCGATTCGCGGTAAGTGCGGTGAGTTGTGACGGCCGGGTATTTCTGTCCGGTTTAGGTCACAGTTGCCGGCTCAGAGGCTGCTGCCAAGCAGCAACTATCCACTGCTTATCCTCCTCTCAAGGTTGCGTGGTTCACCGCTTCTTGGTGCGGTCCTTGCAAGCAAGTGACTCCTTATGTAAGTCATAGTGGAACTCTACTGTTTCGGATCTGCCTTGTGTGTTGGATTCCTGGTTGTTTTCTGTGTCCGAATTGTTGCTTTCTCAGATTGAGAACCTTGCGAAGAACAACGAGAAGGTGTCTTTCATCAAGATCGACATCGATGACTTTGATGATATGGCTCAGGAGAACAAGGTCATGTCCGTGCCTACGTTCGCCTTCTATAAGGATGGCAAGGAGGTAGGAATATCCCAGTCCAAGTTCAGTTTTTTCCACTGTGCTGATATATGTTCACCGCGGTATCTCAGGTTCAACGTGTGACCGGAGCTGATCCTGTGAAGATTGAGGAGATTGTCAAGCAACTATGTCAGTAAATGGCTCAGAGTAACCCCTACGGTGGGTGATAAAAATTTGCTCTGCCGCGTTGGATTTCTTGGTAACAATCCCTTGATGTTATGTGCCATCGTTTTCGAATCAATGAATACCATTTATTGTCTGATTCTGACCATACTGAGTGTTTAGTTGTTCGAGTGGGATTGACTGGTCCGTTGATTTGTGAACATTCGTCTCGAATCCGAATAGAAAAGCTTATTAGCTATCGATGTGCTAAGAAAAGTGACGGAAAGCCAATCTTTCGGAGAGCGGTTAGAGAACAACTCGAATTTAGGATTTAAACGTTAAACTATACAGTACCTTAGTGGAGTTATAGAACTTGCACTCCAGGATTCAAATCCAGTATAGCTGGACAGTCCACCCATCGGTTTTTCATTTCTTGATGACTCATCTAATATTTTGCGGCTTGGTTAAACTAGCATCGATATAAAATCGTATGAAAGTAGTTCGGTCGACTGAAGAGACACTGCTCATGTCCAGAATACTGTTACTAGGCGACTCTTTATTGATCGGCATTCGAGTTGTGGTACTCTAATTGATTCAGATGTCCAGGAGTACAACTAGAAGAACACAACAAGTTATAACTGTCATTCACTATTATTATAACAGACAGTTTGGGTCTTGAATTGCTGTAACGGCAGTTGTAACAGCAGACTACATCGTAGCCATCTGATTATAGAAACTGCTCTAGAACATCTCCGCTTATTAACCAAAATGAACCGAGGAACGAAGCTGGACGGGGCCCAACCTGAGAAGGCCACTTGACCAAAGCGTGCCTTTGACGGACCTACCACCACTCCACGCCTTTTTATAACGACCGAGCCTTCGATGGCTGGACTAGAAGATTTCTGTTCTTCCCTCTGCTTCACAGCTTCGGTGATATGAGCTATAGTGCTGAACTCTCTTGGTTTCAGCCAGAGCTTGAGCTGAGATGAACAAGGTCGCAGGTTCAATCCCTGGACCTGCCGTTTTCTTACCAAATGCCTTTCCGGCAAAGACGTGTGGTCGTCCATAACTCCGATCAACTCATTCACGGAGCCCTCCAAAAGCAACGAGCCGTTCTTGCGTATCAACTCGTGAGTATTTATGATACCCTAAAAGCACCATACGAGTCGTAGCGATATACGCCTCTCTTCAACTCACCTCAGTGGAGCTCTCACCGTCCGCACCGGGACCAACGACGAGGAAAGCCAACTTCCCATTTCGTTTTCGTGAGATATCGAGGCACAAGCGCAGGGAATCTGTGTCTCTGCTATCGCCAACGCCGCCGTAGATTTCCGTGACATCTACGTCGCCCATACGTGGCGCTCCCTGATAACCGGGAGAGATTAAAGGGAAACCGAAAATCTACGAAAGTTCAACTTACCGCTGGCAATGAACGCTGAGTATAAAACTTCATTCCGTCCCCGCCCGTATCAACTAACAGAATTGGCTCAACAACAGCGGGATTTGTTGGGCAGACGAGGCGCCGTAGGAGACCTCGAGAAGCCGGGAAAAGTAAGCTCTCGGATGGAGGGACGACTACTAGGCCGTAACTGACGCGATAAACAATTAAAAAAAGCCCGATCAACTTGATGCGACGAACGACTGCGACTAGAGGGACACTCATAGCATGGCATCACTCCTATTCGAGCGAGAATAAAATGTGAACGACAGTGGGAAAACATGTACATGCTCAACTACATGTGTTAGTGACAATATGAAAATTCTAAGGAAATATCTTATTGTTTTTTGTACATTTCTACCCCAAGTCGTGCGTGAACAATGAGGAAACTCTTCAGCTCAGTTGAGGAAAGCGACCAGATTTTCCAACACTAGTGAATATTCCTAGCACCTCTTCACTTGGGAGTTACCTTTGTATTGTAACGCCCTCAATGACTACTGGGTTGGCGGTAGTGTATAGGAGACCGTCATCCGAACCATCACTCGAAATGGGTGTAACACACTCGTTTTCACAGTATGCTAAGGAAGGCTCTCGCTCGGCGTACTCCCACGCACCCAAGGAGGTCTTCTGCCAACTCTTGTACGGCTTCCCAGTGTATCTGAGGAAAAAATGATAAGAAGGCAATTTCGTGGCGCGCGGTACTTTTTCTTCGTCTGTTCTCGAGATTGAGATGTGAAAACTTCCGTTTCATAATTGGGCCTCTCTCGATCGTATAACCCCGCAAAGGCGGTGATGACAGTGATGGTCTTCAGCGAATGCTTCTTGCAACCTGAGAACAACAGCAGCAGTGCGAATCAGTTTTTAAATATATCTTCGCTTCCCTCAGTTTAGCTCAAGAGTTTCCTTACGGGGCAGAACTTTCGAAGTTATGTGAAAAATTTTGGAGTTTCGTGAAAATTCGTATTTCTCGTGGTTTCAGTACACATCTATACTCGTAGAGTGTACAGAGACCCCCTAAAAAATAAAAAAATTGAAAAAATGTAAAGAATTTTCTAAAATTTTCTCACACATAGTTGACCATGCGCATATCTTCCCGCACTAGCGCACAGCGAAGAACTTACTAACGAGTGAAACCGCCAGGAGCCTCGCCGTCTCCTGATCCGATCCTCCTCCACCACCAAAGATACAGAACGAGGTAGAGTCCCCTACAAAGTCTGAAAGGGCTGTCACTAGACTATTAGACATTTAAAGGAAAGGGAAGAAGAAGAAGAGGAAATTGGGCCTCAAACACATCTGAAAAAAGTAGTCTTACCGTAATCTGAGTGAAAAAATCCGGTACTACCCCGGGGAAAAACGTCCGAAGCCCCCTCAAAACAACACGGATAATTCAACATAGGAGACCACAGTATATCATGAACGAGTAATCATTCATTGAGCGCAACACATTTGAAAAAAGTAGTCCGAGTGAAAAAATCCGGTACTACCCCGGGGAAAAACGTCCGAAGCCCCCCTCAACACAACCACACGGATAATCTAACACAGGAGACCACAGTATATCATGAACGAGTCATCATTAATCGCTGAGCCCTCTTATCAGCTCTGACCAGTTGGACTAGTATATTGCACAAATCCACGAATAGATCCCTCCAGACTGACACATAATCGTTCGCCTCCGACTGTGCCAACGATTTAGCGTTGTCAAGGATCTGGTAGGAAAGAGTAGTAGCCTCCGAAGCGGTGTAGGGAAATATGCACATAGCCAGCTAGGAGACAGTCGCGAGAATTTTGAAAAAAATGTGGCAAGTCTCATTACCAATGAGACTTCCCATATTTTCCGGGTAGAAGTGTCCATAAGCCTACGAGTCATTGGTTTATATACACTTCTACCCGAATTTGTATGCAAACTGCTATAGCTGGCGAGAAGACTCGGCTGAAATCATTTTAAAAAAGCGAACGTATACTCCAGCACTCCTCCTACTTCGAATAGAATGCTAGTCAGCTGTGCTGGTCTGTCCCATACGTTCTCACTAGTAGCCACCGCATTCGATGCTGCGGCCACAGCGGTCGCCAGGCATGCCCTGGAGCGATGGAGGGCGGCCAGCTGCTCTTCTACTATCACATTCTACACAAGGAATATTTAGTATTATATATGGGAATATATGTTTGGTTTCCTAAACTGAGCTCGTGAGTTTCTTCACTATACTATGAGAAATTCACAACATTTTGGGTATAAGTATACAAAAATGAACAAAAATTTCCTCAAAATTTCCATATTCCTAGCAACACGTTAGTAGTTGACCATGTGCATATATTCCCACACTGATCATCATAGGTACGAGAGGGTTCATATATGGAGATATGATGATATTCTATATAAATATTCGATGCCTCTTATTGGATTTTCACCACCCTAGTGATATGAAAAAAATAGTGAAAAACAAATTTCACGACTACTGCATATCACCGCGAATATTGCATTCTTCATCGACTTCAACGTCACTTAGAGTAAAACGGGTGAAACTCCATTAAAAGTACATAATAATAACTATAGATATATAAAATGGATTATAATACCACAAAATCAACAACTACGAAAAAGAACCATCAGAGGTGATAGATAATTATCAAAGTCTCCTACACCGATTTAGTATTATTATTTTTATTACACTATCACTGACATTTTTCCTCCGCGTTTCCGCATCGTCCCTTCTCATGCTCCTCTCAGCCTTCAAGACTTCCTAAGCAAACACTCCCTACGACGAACTCGTGATAGCAGACCCACCTCCAGTCGCTGGACATTCCTCGACACTTTTTCCAATTCCACTTCCCGAGACAACGCCAACTCCTCAGCGGCCGCTCGCCTGATCAGAAGCTCCTCAACATGCGGCAATACCCTTGTCGTCGTGGAAAACAAAATCACTACACATTGAGTATTTCCAATTCACAATTAAATACTGTCATACCGCTCCTCGGCCAATTCCACCTTCTTCAACAGCCTCTCCATCTCTAGGTCCTTCCACTTCGTCTGCGATTGACCCCTCATAGACTCCTGCTCTCCAGGACTCTCCTCCACACCTTTCCTCACGGACGAGTCTAGTGTCTTGAAATTGTCTTCAACACATTTCTTATCACCACAAGCATCATAATTCTCCCCTATATTGTTCTCCTCCTGCTCCTCTGGCAGCATCTCATCCTTCTCGACGGTACCTTCACCCACTAACTCTGCGGACTTCTCATAGCGCTCATTCCCAGAGTCTATGAGCTCTGAGGCCATCAGCATCCGCACTGCTGGTTCCTTATCGACCGGCCCAGCCTCTAGTGCGATAACAAGGTCTTCATCATCATCACCCAAAGAGTGGTGGGCTTGAGCATTACCGGGTACTCCCGAGGACCAAGAGCTGCGATGCTCAGTATAACGCGACTGAATATCCTTTCGAGCTCTCCAGAATCTACGACAGATATCAAATGCACTACTTCCTCTACCAAAACTCACACGTTAAATCGCCCTACAAAGCTGCCATGATCAACTTCATCGTTGACACTTCCAAAGATATCATTAGCAATCCAGGCCACCAGCCCGGCTGAGGGTTGTGGTAAGGACTCCTGCTCGAACAAGGAGCGGAGGAGGGTAGCAAAACCTCCTCGTACACGTAGACCCCCTGTCACCGGCTTGTTGTCTCTGTGACGGATATAGAACTACCAATAAAAACGAATAGTTAAAAATATCATAACACAGCGGAGCGGAGCAGATTGGAAAAGCGAGCTACTACCAAGTTACATCCTACCGACCAAGCTCTGACCCAAAATGACTTCTCCAACAGCAATAAGACTACAGAGTTACACTGAGCGATCCGATTCTGGAACTCAGGATTCATCCAGGATAACCAACGATGACCTTTAATTTCTAAACTTGGCTCACCCCAACGACTTCTATCCTCCAACCCATTTTACATCCCACAGGTCCTCGATCTCCTCCCGGCTCAGCTCCTCAGGCATCCCAAAGACGACCCATCCTAACGATACAGCTTCGCTCCGCTCAACACAAGCGTTCGAATGATCACAGAAACGCCAATGAGAACATCACCGGTGCTTCTTTTCCTCCTCCGCCACCTCAGCCTTCGTGTGGCTTCCTGCTGCAACCAACGCCTGAAAAAATACAGCAATGGTAATATTATCATCTTCGCTCCGCTAGAAGATTTCTATCAGCTACTAGGTGCTCCGAACATGAAAGTGATCGATGGGCTTACGACTCCGGTGATGATAGAGGTAGCCCCCATGAGCCAAGTAAAAGACATCCTCTCTCCGAAGAAGACCGCGCCGAAAATGGAAGAGAATAGGAAGTTGCCACCAAAGTTCATCACAGTAGCTTGCAATGCTGTTCCTGCAAGGACGACAGAGATCCCTGGTTCGATCCCGGCACCCTACGTTTTTGCAGAGCTTCAATGTAATAGGACATCATGGACGCGTTAGACGCTAGAGAGAGTACTATAAAGACAGCCCTCAACATATACCCTGCCACAGGGTGGACCTGTATCGCAGCTTTATACCTGATCAAACAACGACACGCTTTGCTCGAGAAAAAATACGGAAAGAATACTTTTCCGGAAAATTTTTTAATTCTTTCACGACGCTGAAGTCACAAGAAAAGTAGATACACACTAAGTTGCCGAACGTCCTCAAGACGAATACATTCGCTCCATAAGGACTACTAGTAGAAGGTCTGTTGTGACAGAGGAGTGGTACGAGGATCTACCCATAGCCTTACGCTAACGACCCGTTGGTTGTGTCGAAGCCAACCTTGGCAAACACTGATGCCGCTGCAGCGCAAAGGGATGATATGAGATTAGGGTCGAGCATTATAAAGGAGATCGGGACAGATGATGACGCAAGCAGGATCAGAAGACACAATAGACGCCATCGTGTTGTTGAGAAGACTCGACACCGGCAACTCGCGCAAACGATGGGTACAACAATGGGAGAATTGATGTTAAATGCCAACTCTCGCAGATGCCAAAGCTCTAAACCCCACAACAAGGAAACCGCTGTAGTAGTCCTCATCTAAACTCTCCACGCCTAAGCTCCACAGAGTGTATAATTACTGTGAATATATCTATTGTCGGACGCACGGTAAAAGCCGGTATGAAAATCATTAAGAATAGATCTTGACAATCTTCTCATCATCATCACCAAGGCAAACAGTGAGGTCTCTACATCTATTTACATACCCATCGAAGGGCCACCCAAAACTCGTGTAACGATGTGCATAGTACTGGTACTAGCAATGTATCTATATTATTATAATAGGTAATATTCATAAGATGCTCCATACATACACGAGGACCTAGGCCTAGCCTCCTCCCCCATCGGCTACTGGCACCAACACAAGCAGACGCTTCGCATTGGAAGCATTTCATAAATCTCACCGACTGTAGGCCATGCGGGGAGAGATATTTCATGCTAGCTGGAAGAGTCATCGCCTTCTGGGAGGATGCGGAAATTCGGATGGGGTAGAAATGTGAAAGAGGTACAAGGTATTCACGTAGGAGATATGTGAGTGATCTATGAGCACATGAAAACCCAAGGAAGAGTAGGTTTCGAAAACCCATGGGCGTTCCTCCTGATTGTAATTATTACCTAATGCTCGAGCTCAGTGGGGCACTGGAGTTCTCCGCGAGGATGCCCACCAGGAGCGAGTGCGTCCCATGTGCGCCTGTGCTATCCACAAACGCATGTACTTCGTGTCGATTCATCGCGTGCAGTTACCCAGGTTTTCAGGGGCATTGAAAAGTCAATCCAATTCCCACTATCAATATTTTCCCCACCGTCCTTCGAGATGGTAGGTGCAGTCAACTGAGCTCAACCGAGATGATACCTGCTATATTAAATTAGCAGGTAGTCGTACCAGAAGCCCAGACACCAACATCGATCGGGGTCAAGTTCGACCCGAGTAGCGCTCCAACCTCGAGGTCGATCGTTCTCAAGTCAGCAGCCTTATTGAAGGCAAGCGAAGTGCCACCGTTGACTTTATAAGAATCGAGGATGAACACGCAATAGTCCCTTCTTTGGTTAGGAGGCAAGCAATTATCGGGAACCTCCTTCACCACCAGCATACGGAGAGAACGTCGCTCAGAGCTCTGGGTCGACTTGCCGATGGTATGGTTAACCATGAAGGCATCAGCGCAAACGAAAAGTAATCCTTGTCATCAGACTGATGATGATTATATTGGGAATTGTTGTGGCCTTGAAGGGCTTCGTTGACTAGGTATCATCCTCGCAGTCCTGCCTGGCTCCAGGAGTATTATTCATAACTTTGGAGTGAGAAAAGAATGAAGCCTCGATCGTCAGATGATGGCGTACAAGCTATACTATACTGAGCTAGCTCCTCCGGATCATGACAAGGTGTGTCATATGATAAAACGTTCGTGTGGACTGAGCTTCATGCGGCCGAGGACGTGCAGGACCTGCACTGCAGGTAAATGCAAGTAGACGACATATAATCGAACAATCACTTCATAACTCGCGATATCCTGTTCTGGCGACAGTCGTTAGGTCTCAGGCCCGAGCGTGCCAGTTGGATGGCCAGAACGGCCATGCTTCGCGAAAATTGTGGATATAAATAGTGGGAGGGGGCGTTTGTTCGGATACTCGCTTCACGTAATCCGTTAGACTCACGTGAGTGGGTATCAGAATCGACGATCAACTCACGATTCGCATAGAGCACGCGAACCAGGGTTGTCGAAAGTGGAAATTCGAGAAATTTCCGAAATTTCAGACATGAAATGCAACTAATGGAAATTTCGCATATTTAAGGAAATCCAGGAAACAGATAAATGAACAGATAATCAGCCCATTCCTAGTACGTCGAAAACTTATAATTCAATCACAAAGGTGAACGTTATACATAATACCGCATACACTACCAGGACCGACCGAAAGAAAAATCGATTATAATGACGCGCGCCAAGTGATAAAACCGTTTCAGAACATCGTAATCGTAAAAGTACACTACATCAGCCCCTGCAGCTGCTCAGCACGGTATAACTCATCATGAGACCATCACTATTACGATGATTGTCTTATTTCCCACTCTCATACTCCCGTCTTTAGACCTCTCAGAGGATCTGAAAAATGACAGATGACCCAGCCGGAGGTGTTGCACAGCTGTACTTGTCACAAACTCAAGATCCCAGTTTAAAAGGATGAATTGGGTGATGAATGAGCAGTATATAGAAGACTTGTATATAACACCAATACTTCTAAAGGGGTTTTACCCCAACAAGAATGACATGGTTCATGTCGGATATACGATGATGATATACTTGCGGTGAGCGAACAAAGTGTCAACGCGAACACTCAGGGACTCTGAGTCAGGGTTCCGCAGTAGTGCTGGGGGAGACAGAAGGAAGCGAAGTAGTAGTTGTGCTGGGCTCTGCGCAAGAGCAGCTCACAGGAAGACCATCGCAATCTTGGGAAGTGTCGCCTGAGAGACATATACACAGCGTTGGAGAGAATCACATCTTACTATGGTAGCAGATAGAAGAGTCCAACCCATCGGTCCACGCTAGACCGTAGCAAACACTGCCGAGCTCGTTGCCAACAAACTGCCAATCCTTGCAGTAGGTTCCCTTGGCCTCTTGAGCTTCCGCGCCGCTGATGTAGGAGGGGTCCTTGTACATATCATACATCTGACAGGAGATTTGAGATGCTTGAAAAGAGATTAGTTCCCAACCTGTTGACAGTAACTAGTCCCATAAGAGCAATCTTGAAGAGATCGGAGACCGTCCACAGAGGCCAATACCACCAGAATGGAGAGCGGAGCAAACATGCCGAGCAAAGGAAGCTACCATGAACCGAGTCAATGCCACATGCGGGTACAAGGAGCGCTTCAGGTTTTCCACATGGTGAGCACAAGTTTTGAACACCAGCAAACTACCTGGTCTGCTTACATTACCACCTAGGAGGAGTGTACACAACGCGTGTAATGCAGTGCAAAAGATACTTGTACTATGAAACGGAAGATACGGGGAGATTCGCTTTGCCCGCGCACGCAGGATTCGTTCTTAATGCACTCACATGCAAAGTTCGGATGCAAGGGAACTCTTTGGACAGTCTGTGGTTGCTTCGAGTATACTCCCCATCGCAGAACCTTAGCATTACATGCTTCTTAGCACTTCTAGCACTACTTGCTACTTAATCTTAAAGATGAAGCATATTATGCATATTAAGCATGTTCTTCACCTCATGTATAAGGAAAACCGGATATTATCCGCTTTTTCGGCTCGTGGACAGTCACCTCAACGATCCATTGACAACGAGTACCATCTGACGGCTCAGGGAGGTATGTTCTTACGCTCGACATGATATAACCTCCAAGGTTCAGAGCCTAACTTCTATTAGGGAAGACACTTAGATAATGGGGGCGGCAGTTGAGAAAGGCGACTATACTGTATCTATGAATCTCTCTCAACTCATATGGGAAGGCTCGATCTCCAAGAGACCGAGCCTGAAGACTTCACATGAGGACTTCACATCCTACTCCGTCTCGGAAACCATTGTTTGCTTTCATGGATCCAATGGCAAGCTACGACGCGAACGCGTACATATTAATAATATGTACGCGTATATCTACTATATCTCGACCTTCTATATCGACGCACTTGCACTCACCCCTCCATTGTTTCGTGCACTCCGTGAGTGCCACTGACAAACGGAACTGTTCCGTTCGTTGAGTATCACTAGGTCAGGGTTTGTATTGAATTGGTCTGAGCTCATCCGGCCCCTTACTAGTTTGGTCTGGGGACTGTTGAAGTGGTCTGAGTTTTTAGCAATTTGGTCTTGGAATGGTGTAGAGGGAGGTTGAGAGGATGCGGACAATGAACCGCTGATATCAAGCTCGATGCTTGTATCCGAAGAAAGCAAAAAATCTCCTGACAAATTTTATCAGATAGAGCTTGAGAGCTTTCGCCCAGCTATCACACAACCGATCATGGTGCCCAGAGACGGTGACATGAGTAATCAATGTAGTGGTTTTTGTAGAAGAGAAAAACATCCAATGAGCTGTAAGAGATGAGTTGGGATTACTGACTTCAACGAGCATGTGGGAAAATCTTCCCCATGTGCCACATGGCATGTGGACTATTCCACCGGCACGCTAGGGTCACGACCGTCAGGAAGGAAGCCAGCGCAGCGGTTACGCACACTCTTTGATGTCTTATTCGCATTTAGGGACACTCCGCGCTAGGGACACCACAGCAATGATTGCTGAGGCTTTCGACAGCGCTCAGGGCTACATGTGTCGTGTCGATACAACTTGTATCATACAAGGTTGGGAGCCAGAGTTTGATTCTCCTCCATGTGTCGACATCGACCTTTATTACCGCTTCATAAGCGTTGATGTAACTCGCTCAGCGAGTCTCGCTGAATGAAGATATGAATCTGATATAAAGAACGAAGGTACATGAGAGATGTGCAGCTCCTCGCCTTTTCGCTTCACGCCACTCAGGAGCATTTTGGTCTTCCTTGGCGCTGAAACCGAGAGTGAGGAGGCGAAGGCGACTTGGTGGGTCCACATTACCCAAGATCGTCACTGGCAGACCGCACCCAGTTCTCTTATATGTATAGTCAATTGCAACAGCCGTGGAATTCCCATGCCTCTGTAGCAGGCTCGATGTCGAAAAGTAGCCGTAGAGTGCGTTTCCTGCATCATACGAGGCGCAGAAGGCCGCATTGTCATTGTCAATGCGCATTGAGCCTCGGATTGGGCATTCAGACATCAGATCATCTCTGAAACACTCTAACCGACTGGATGGTCGTCGATTTCTCACTTCTTTACTTCCACTTACAAAGCCCCCTCGTAGCTGAGGATATCGTCGAACTTGCAGCACAGCTGGTCTAACACGATCTCGTAGTCGGCGTGAAGATCGAAATCGGCGTGGAGGTCGGAAGCAGTGGCGACTGTTTGGTCGGTAGTATATCCTCAAGTGGACAGGAGGGTGCTATTCTCCATCGACTATCTAACAAAAATGATTCCTTGGCATAAGTTTACCGGCCCACGCTCATCACTTCTGATCTGACATTCCCCATGGCTTGCGAGCTGGGTCTCAATCTTGGAGTACAATCTATGGATAATTACCTGGTAGCACAGAATGGTCCCTCGAGGACGAGGATTGTCGAGCTACTCTCACCGGTGAAGTTGGAAGAGAATGATGTACATGGACTGCTGAATCTCTTTTATCGCTTGCACGAATAGTGGATCGCTCTTGAGGCCTAGGATAACCTAGGCCAACTACAACCACTCGCATGATGAGGATCACTTTGCGCTCGAAGAATCAACGGTTATCACTTTTCATTATCTCTTTTCATCTGCCTCATCTAGTTATCTGGCTGCTATAACCAGGTGCACTGCACAATGTTGGCCATAGCACTGACGTCATTTGTGATGCAGTAGCTGTATCGAATTCGGCGCTTGAATCGCTTCTTGGCTGTTGAAAAGCTCAAAAGTGTCGGTTCGAAGCTTGAACTTGAAACCATCTGCACTCTTTCGGCTCACTCTGTAGAATAGTATTATCCCAGCGAGTCGTCTCCTTGATTGCTTCGAGTTCAACCGAGCACTATCCCGATAGCGTTATATCGCACAGTGCAATTTGCAGACTGCAAACTCCCATGCAATGGGCTGGAATCCTGAGGTCCATAGAGAGCCTTATATGTGTACGAGTGTATGGAGTTACACAATGCTCGAGTGCATTGTCGATTAGAACCAGTCGCCGGTACAGACTTAAAGCGCAACAACATGGATGAGAAATTCGATCACCGTGAAGTCCACGGCATGAACCACATTAATTGTGCAAGAAGTGTTACCGGGAAGACATCGAGCCGCTATTGGAGTGCCTAACCGAATCAACTTCCGACATACAACTGGCCCGAGGTCGTCTACACAACAGTGTGGGACGGGGAGTGCATATGGATCATCATGCCCGGTGGAGGCGAGGGTGTTCCCAAAGGACGCAACTGAGCGCCCATCATCCCTTGGGACCCAGTCTGCCCATGATGGGCGCTGAACACAATAGAGGACTGCCCCGGGGGTGTAGGCAGGGTTGGACTCGGCGAACGGCTATGCGGCAGCGGTGGAGTACCCATCGGCATCAGCTCGAGCGGACTACATGAACCGACCCTTACACCGATTGCGTTCAATCGATCAAACCCTACACATCCTCGTTCGCCGACACGGAGTCCGACTGTGCCCGGGGGTTGAGTCGGCTTGGCTGTGGTCGTCGTAGCTCAGGAGCCTTAGGGTCCACAGATGAGCAGCTCCTACAGGAGGGGCCCCACCGGTTGACATCCAGCGATACCGGACATGTCCGCCATAGGAGTTGGTGATCCAGCGTTCGGTGATGCCAGTGACATATTCACAACACTTGCGCCTGACAGCATAGTGCACAAGATAAGACCGACTGAGCGACTTCCTACTCTCTACTTGCTGTAGGGCACTCTGGGAGCCACTGAAGAGGGCCTGTGGGCTGGCTGGTGCGGGAGACGCACAGTGCATTGGCTGTTGGAATAACAACTGCGGCCGAGATCATCGAATGCTCCTACCCGGTATGAGCCCGGCATGCCGGTAGCAAAGTAGTTGCCGAAATGCTGACCTCCAACGTGATGGAACACACTGATCAAGTTCGGCAGTTGATCCCCTCACGAGAGTCTCCCTCACCCATTTTGCTGTTGTTGTTGCTGCTGCTGCTGCCAGTTCAGCGTTTGCTGCTGCAGTGCGCCGGCGGCCATGTGATTGTAGATCGCCGAATTTGCCGGACTGCTAGCCGCCGGACTCGGACAATACGGTGATGGCGCACGAGTGCTCTGCCTGCACCTCATCGTGAAAACTCCAACCAGCGTGGCAACTTACCCTGATGAGCCCGGAACACTAGTCAGATTCACCGTGCTGAGTTCTGGTAGATGCGGCCTATGGTCACTGAACTCCTTCGTCCTTAACATTCTACGTGCCTCTGCTTTCTCCAAGTTTGTCACCCACATTTCCATGGCCAACTGACGGTCCTACCACACCAACCTCAAACTCAGTGAGAAAACAACAACGCGTCACGTCCTCGTCCACGGACATCTCTAGCGTGGCTCTCATAGTCTCACACTGTTCACGATTGACCGTAGGATCCAGACAGAAATCCTGGACCAGCGTAGCCTGTCACCACAGTGTCACAATTTGCCCCTATACGATCTGCCTCAGCCGCCCACCTGGTCCTTCGAGATCACTCCTCTTCTAAACAGTTTTATAGCATACATAATCAACTGCAGTGGGGCGGTTTGATGAGGCCCATTCGATGCTTTGCCTGATGATGATGTACTAAGATACGGCCCATCCAGCACAAGTACTGTCCCTCGGGTGACAATCATCAATCAAGTCGTTGGTGGCCTGCGTCAGACTTGAAAGATCCCCACCGCGATTAGTGCCTAAATACCCTCGGCCCAATACCATCCAACCGTTGTTGCTCACGCGACATCCTTCTAACTACGTGAGTCCGACAATGCATACTGTGCTGGCTCAAAACTGACACATCGAGACCATTTAGATCCAACGCACGGCGCATCGGAGACCTGCACTGAGCCTGCTGATATCTTCAGTGGGAGGACACTCTGGGTAATCTTCTAGAAGAGCCCGATTCGACGCTGGTGTCGCCCCTGCCGTCGTCCGCTGACCCGAGCGTCGCGATGATGCCGGGCTATAGCTATCGTCTGCTGAGAGGTGCTCTGCCAGAAGCTGGTGCCTCCACATTGAGCAACCAAGAAAGGCTCACCCGATACGGAGGTGTTCAAGAGCTCAGCAAAGGAGCGCGAGTCGTGGTGGCTCGACATAGGGTATGATCAACAGACACAGACTCGCACCAGCCTATCACCCAACACTATGAACACCGAAGCAGTCTGAGCAACCCCATGCACATGTCTGTGACCAGTGGGAAGGCCGATGCATATCTACCGATCCAGTTCTGTGCTGTGACTAGAGCGACGATACGCCAGGCCATTGTTGGAATATATGTTCGCTCTCCTCAGCTGAACTCAGAAGTTTCCTCATCGACCGTACTACGGTCGATGAGGAAAATGAAGTTATGGGAACTTCATGTAAGTCTTCTCGTTATGTTAAACTTCTCGGTCCTAAGGAGTCTATATACCAATTCGGGTAGAAGTGTACAGAAACCAACAATTTACCAAAATTTCGCCGAAATTTCATATCACCACCAACACATGTACTTGACCATGTGCACATTTCCCCCACACTGCGCCAGGCACGTCCAAGACCAAGAGTGTGGCGAAAGGCAGCGCAGACGCAACAAGGCTGCTCCCCATCACGAACCATGTACTGTGAGCACGACCTGTTCGACGACAGGTTGTTGACCGCCGTATGTCGGTGACTGATTGAGCCGTTAGTAGTAGGGCAGGGTGATAGGGCACAAGCAGAGAATCATCCAGGAGCTCATAATGTTCCCATGGGGAACTCATTTTGATTTTTCCACATAATTACGTATACATTCTTCCATCAATTATCATAATAGGAACATTTCCCCATTGTTACCGAACTTCTTATCTCACAAAGCAACATGAGTGTCTGAACCCAAGTACTCTGCCAACTACCAGTGGTAGTCTACCACAGTGTAACACCGGAACCATCTCGCCCCGACACTGAGATCGCATCGAACATGGTGCCCAGTGGAGCCCGTTGGTCTACAACCAGTGATTAACCAAACTATATAAACTGAGGAGTGTTTAGAAACTTGCTGCTGATCGTCGTCGCAGGCAACGACAACGATAAAAATAGTACTATAACGAAGCCCTGAATGTTACTGCGAATAATAAATCACGGCGGGATCAGAAACAGTCACACGGCGCTCTCGTCATTCGCTGACTGTGAGGAATCAAGACTAGGAAATTTAATCTGCCAAATTGGGGGTCGAGATGGACCTGAAAACTCCATAGAACGACATAACATCAACACTGAGCTCACTCGAAGGTTCCTCCTCAGGGCCTTCCACAATAGTAGGTTCCTCCAGCTCGTGAGGAGGCTTCTCCTCAAAATCCTTACTACTCCCAGCAGGCACTGTACTGGCGTTATGCACGGCATACCTGTGAAACGAATATATGTTGTTGTTGGGACATACAATCGCTTTCTTCTATCTTTCCTCACCATAGGAGCTCATATACAAATTAGGGTACAACTACACCGAAACCGATGAAAATCTCACTATATTTTCTCAAAATTTTCATATTGTCACCAAAACATATGCATATATTCCCTTCACACTGACCCGAAGTGCCTACATCTGCGCCGCTACTGCAGAACTGCGTCCGTCAACCTCACTAGCCTCTTGTCGAGGAAACATAGTCTCATCAGCAAGCCGGCCCAGCAGGTCCGTCACAGCGTGTACGTCATGCACATAATAGTGTGCTTGTGAGCCCGACTTCCGCCCCACTGTTACAGTGTATTTGCAATACACCTCTTTATTCTTCGACTGAAACAATACATCGTTTCACAGAAATATGTGTCCCTCTAGAAATCCATGAAATATACATTCCGTGATAATATGATATACCTTGCTATGATTTACGCTGCAAATAGTTCTCAAACCCAGTGCTCCAATATGGTTATACAGCTGACACGTATTGGTCATTCAACGCGGCCTAATGCTACACAACCTAGACAATGATACGTTAATTTTTGATGTACCCACAACCTAGTTTGCGGATGAACATAATACGGTCATATAAAAGCCTGTTAGTTCGCATAACAATGACCCTCAGACCAGCGAAGTGATAAACTACCAATAAAGAGAACAGCAACAAGGCCTACCAATCTGCTCGGCGACTTCTTCTTTTTCAGCATTCTCCCCTGGCCGACTACTCCCGACGACGGGTCCGACGCCCGACTAGCCCTAGTCGCTCGGGAGGAATATCTCATCCACATACGCTGAGTGAAGGTGTTCTCAGCCGAGACTGGGCCGGTAGCTGGGGTACTCTGAAATCACACAGTAAACTTCCCTCGAAAAAATAACCCCACTTCAGTGCGTTGTGGCCCCGACTCCTCCTCAGAAGAAGACTCCCGCTCAACTCCACTCGAACGAACTATTCCAACACCAGGAACGAACTGTGCGTGCTCTAACGAGTCTGGATGCGCAGTCAGAGACACCGACATAGAATTCAATGCCTCAAACATATACCTGATACCACAAACATCACTAAAATTACCAACAACTTCATTATCTCACTCATCACTGCGATCATCTCCAATACACATAACGAAGTCTGGCGATTGACCATTTCCCGAAGTCGCCAATTCAGCTAATATGGTCTGGACCGCCAAACCTTTATTCACTCCTCTGAGCTTAGCCTGAGGGGCCAACACTAAATCGCCTCTTCCTATTGGAACACACTTCACTACCTCAACATAGCCCTTTCCCATAGTAACCTCAACATCATAGCCCTTCAAATACTCCTCAAGAGACGAGTATAAATTCTTCGCCTATATGAAAAAGATACTACGATAAAAAAGGCGGAGCGAAGCACCAACCTGATGCAGACCAAAATCAGGATCAGTGTCCCTAAACTGCCATACCAACGCGGATCCCTTATTCTCCACAAACGAATTTTGCGTCCGTGACACGTACCTATCGCCAAAAATGCCTATAAACTAACACGCCCCAAAACACCCTTACTGTCGCATGAGCTCTCCAGCTAGAGCCTTCCACTCAGCTTTTTTCGCGTCAGCCTCCGAGGCCTCGGGCAAGAGGCACACCCATCCATCAGGACCCACAGGGGAGGGAACATGAGACTAACGACAACCATCGTTAATCACATTGTCGATTTCTGCCGTTACTACTTCCTCCTCTTTCCCTTTCCCCGGCGTGTGCCTCTTCATACTGTTCGGGGGCAGTTTCCAGTAGTACCCATGCTCTGCGGCTAAACCAATGTTGCGGACAGATCCAAACCACTCCTACAGAGAAATATCATCGTTATCAATAGAGTTCCACCCGTGATATGAAAAAAAACTAACGAATGATATATTTCATGACTACCGCATAGCGCGAATATTGCGTTCTAATACGACATTTCACGTGAAATGTGTGAAACGCCAATACCATGAACTAACCTGTAATAAAGACTTCTCCCGCCCGCTCAAAATGACCACCGTATTCCTAGGGTCACTACACAGCTTCGACAAGGCGTCCAATACTGCTGCTGAGGGTGGGTTGCCGTGGGACATCAACGCACTGGACTGAGGAGAATACCACATCACAGCCACATTCATCGAAATAACACCAATCTGGCAGATTTACGTGTCCGACGACAAAGAGGAAATTCTTTCGCGAGGACAGCAAATGGAATTTCATTCTTCATACGACGATGGAGTTTCACCCGTAAAGTGGCGTAACACCCCGTGAAAAACGCGA